AATATGCAGCAACCAGCAGCTTAGTTCATTGGCGACTTCTGGTCGAAACGTACTCGAGCTCTGGCCTCAGGCTGCTCTGACGCGGCAGCACAACAGCTTGACATATACGGTTACGGTTGCAGTGCCATAGCATGTATGAAAAGCAAGCTGCCTCCGCCTCCCACTTGCTGTGGCTTCTGACACAACTACAGATATATGCAGCGCCATTTTGCCAAGTGAAAGCTCTAATTCAAGACATGTGAATTTACATTTTGACTACACAATTCTCCAAAAATGTTCTGACCTGTCAGAATGCCAGCACCAAGATGTGCACATCATTCAGACTAGTTCAAACTTAATACCTCTAAAAAGGACAGTGTTGATATCTTGATTTGAAAGGGCATTAAATATATCTTGAACTCGAATGAGCAGAAACCAGAATCAAACTATAGATATCACAAATGGGAATTACAGTCATATTTCAGCTGCATATATCAGCAGTTCACATTGGTGAAAGTGACATTGCAGAAATGTGAAATGTTCATTTTGGACCATGAAGTACTGAATTATGGATATCTGCAATACATATCCAGTCTAGCTATTAAACCTTAAAACTGCTTGCCGTGAGCATGCACTGCCACGTGGAGGATGAGAACATTATGTTGAAAGACCACAGAGAGCATATGGGCGGTCAAGGATGAAGGGATATTAAACCTGATGAGACAAACAATAGCCTCAAAAGAAACAAATCAATTTCCTTGAATCTAAGCATCCTCAGTGTTTTGAGGTTGTAACTTAATCTTAATGCAAACACTGGGTGGGCCTAAGGATTGCATGAAGATTGAATAGGATTAGACGTAATCCCTCACATAATGTCACAGAGAAGTCGTCAGTAACTGCACATCTGACGAAACGGTGCATGTCTTCGGAGTAGGGCCCTTTGATTATTTCTAAATCCTTAATTAAAACTTGACTCCTTCTAAGCCAGAGGAGACCAATATTGTTGTGCAACTTGAATGTAAATTCACACACACACACGCAACATAAAACGGGGGAGTCTGAAATCAAATGGGCAACTGTGCATGAAACCGGAACAGACTGGCTCTTTTACTTTGAAACTCTCAGGGATTACGCAAAGGTCTGTGAGACTAAGAGAGCGCTGTATTGTAACGCACCGCTCTTTTTCAATGACACTGTTGCTGACTTGGTATGTTTCGCAAAGCTTCGAATGTTTGAGAAGCAATATCTGAACTCCTGAACAAAGATTATATAACATGCTATGTGTCTGTGTGATATAACGTCTCGTATCAGAGCGCGACCCGATGGTTTTCAGAGGCTCCAAAGTGGAGACATTAAACAGTGTGATGAGTTGGGGTTAGGTTTTAGGAGATTACCAACGAGGATAAAAACCAGGTGCTTTGTCAATTTCTGTGTTTTTAAATCCCTCTAATCTGGTTCCGCTCCCTGACACAGCTGGGTTGGGATTTATTGTTTCTGATATGATTAGCAGACATGTTAAAACACAGAGGACATGATGTGAGCATCTCATGGAGGAGGGCTTTCTGTTTTACAAAAGGGCCCACAGGTGACCCCCGGTTATGTAAGCTTAGTGCCGATTTAGGGAATCAACCTCGGTGTAGGCACAACGTCAGAGTTAGGATGAGTGAAGTTAGTACCCTGATGCCATTTGGGATCCAGCATTTTATTTTAACCTTGTGACAGCGAGTACTTAACTGATAATGGGAGGCCTCAGTGCATTTTGAAAAAAAAACATTAAAAAAAAAAAGGTATAAAAGCACTCAGCAAATTATCATTTTGCTCTATTAAAGTGTAGCACATTTTTCCAGTTCATTTTGAACACAAAGTCATCAACAGACAGATTTAGTTTGTTATAATTAGGACCTTCTAATATGTGCTGTTTTACTTATACCAACATTTACTCATTGATAGATTGTCCTAATGATTACACAGCAAGATAAAAACCCAATTTCAGTCTGCACAGAGAGGTGCAAGTCTATATGATTCACTTTGTCTGCTTTCTGCAAATTATCCTAAATTACCCAGATGTAGAGGAAGCACCCCTTGATGCTTGAAAAGATGCCCTCCTCCAAACCAAAGCAAAACACTCCATCAGGCTTCAATTAAAGTACGCACTTCCTTTCCCAGATTAATTGTTTTTCCTAGTTAGGCTGGGCTCCCAGGGATTCGAAATCATCTTAGTCAAGAATCTAATTACTGTGGAAAAAAAGGAGTTTTACTCTGAATAGCACAAGTTGAATTGCTTTCACTTGTTGAAGGCAGCCTTGACTGTCAACACAGGCTATTACTGAACTGTCAAAACAGTCATCAGGCAAGAGTGGAGGCATCCAGCTGTGGCAAATACGTACGCATCTTTCAGATGCTTTGACACCCACATACACAAGCACAATGGGGGCCTAGTGTCACCTTAAATCCTCATTTTATTCTAAGTTGACAATTTACTTGGAACATGTGCTTGAGAGTGCACAAAGCATTCATTTCAGAATAGTCCACCAGCCAGCTATGCTATGTCGTCGATCCTTTTTTAGGAGGTGGGTCGGTTGCTTCCAAAAAAAGACTTAAACAAATGCAGGCTGCTACAGCAGGCTGTTTATCATACCTCTGCACTGAATACGAACGCAGGTCGTGTCTGTGCTTTCAAGGCAGCAGGATGGCCGACATGTCATCAGGAATCTGGTCTCACTGTTGGGAACATAGCACAGAAATACCTCCTTAATCAAATCTGTAGCCTCATGCATTTCACTGTAAAGAAATAAATGAGTATGTGCAGTGATATACCCTGATCTAAGCGATTCAGTAGGCTGGGAGCAGTCTCCTGGCGCACTGTCTCTCTGGGCCTATTGTGTGCTTTAGTAAGTGAAATTTAGTTGGATATTATAGGATTTGACAAGCACAATGACTCAAAGTATTTTAAGTTTTATATTGTGGCCCATGACCACTTTCTTACTCTCTATACCTTTTTTTTTTTTTTTTTTTTAACAACATCCTCTTGTCTTTTTATTTTTCCTCAGTGTTCAGTCCTTGTAATTCCTTCCTCTGGCTTTATTGTGTCATGTTGTACTGATGGTTCCTTTGTTATTAGATGTCGCACTTGAACAGTGAACTTTGATGAAATCTGGCTTTATTATTTCTATTAAAAAAGACCTTTGGTGTCAGAGACAGAGGGGAGAGCCCATCTATAATATGCTGTAGTGTCAGTAGTGGCAGATGCTGTACAATGTGCTAGACTGGCGGTTTGGCAGTGTTGGTCTGTCTGCCAATTTAGTCCAGACTTAAACGTCTCAGCAACTAGTACACAGATTGCCATTAAATTTTGAACAGTTATTCACAGAACTCAAAGGATGAAACCTTTTCGCTGCGGAGATACTGAGTGAAAGATGTCGGCAGCTATTGAATGAACTGCTTTGATGTCTTCCTCAAGATGAGTTGTAACAACTTTGTTAATCCCCTGATTTGTCATCGTACACTGTCCCGGGGGTACATTATTTATTTGGTTTGTGACCCCATTTCCACAAAGCTAATGGCATTCAGGTTCCGCTGTACCTCATGTTTCATGCTAATTAGCAAATGATAGAATGGCGAACATGGTAAATATTTTACCTGCTGAACATCTGCATGTCAGTTGTGTCACTGTAAGCATGTTAGAATGTAGATCAAAGCTCTGCTGTGTCTATGTACAGCCTCACATAACTGCATGCATGGCTGTAGTATTGCCACGTTAATTGTACTTCTAATATTAATACAGATATCCGTGATATCACTATAGCCTCATAAAACATTAGCCTACTGAACTGTCTTTTTCCTGTGCCAATACCAGCAGTTCTTGTCAGCCATTTCCACTGTTGTGTGTCCAACAACACTACACAGTTTTGCCTGCATCAGGGCTTCATAAAAGCTGCCGTTAAGCTACATTACCTCTCCCTGGTCAAGCCTCATCCTGAGGCAATGTTTCCTCTTTGCCTGCAAACTAAAAGTAAGAAAAAAAAAAAAAAACATGAGAAACTGGAGGATTTCCATAATCTGAAGTGTTGAAGCATATAACAGAAGTAATGCTTGTGTGCTATTACATGAATACAAGAGCAAAAAGCTATGTTTCATTCAGGCCTAAAGCCCCACATCCTTCTGAGGCACTTCTTCATGTAACGCCTAAACTCAGGTAACTCCACAGCTCACCGTTCCCATCTGAATAACTTTTTAACTGTGCAAAGACAAATCTGTTTGTTGACCCAGATGTTACTTCCCCTGTATGTGCTAATCCAATAAAACTGGTTTCTACTCTAAAAACTGAGTTAAAGAGTATAATATGTGCAAAATAGATGGTTGTAGTCAGTGTTTAAAGAAGTGTTCAGATCAGATGTTTTAAGTCCAAAGTCCTAACAATTGTAAATTGTACATTAACTCAAATACGATTCTCAAGTACAATATTGAGTTTCTTTAGTATATTTCTAATATGTTATTTTATACTCATGCTGAACTATATTTCAGAGGAAGATACATAAGCTTTTAGCTCACTACATTTGTGAGGTCCTTATAAAATATGGTGCAGTCCTTTATCATTAAACTAACTAATAGTGTAAAGAAACTAAAATCAGCTACACATAAAAATTACAACATTAAGTCATATAAGGACTGCAGGGTGGCGCAGTTGGTAGCACTGTTGCCTCGCAGCAAGAAGGTCACCGGTTTGTGTGAGGACACCCGGGATCTTTCTGCGTGGAGTTTGCATGTTCTCCCCGTGCAGCGTGGGTTCTTTCCGGGTTCTCCGGCTTCCTCCCACACAATCCAAAAACATGTTGAGGTTAATTGGTGATTCTAAATTGTCCATAGGTGTGAATGTGAGTGTGCTTGGTTGTCTGTCTCTAAGTGTGGCCCTGTCTTCCCCTGCCTTCACCCTAAGTCAGCTGGGATAGACTCCAGCCCCCACGCGACCCTAGTGAGGATCAAGAGGTGTATAGATAATGGACAAAGGATGGAAGTCATATAAAACAATGTATTAGTGCTAAAAAGGGTGAATCTGCGGCGCACTTGCAGCCATCACGGCCATGACTGTTGCTAACCGCGTTAGTTTAAGTTGAAACACTCATATTGCACAGACAAAAATACAATTAGCAAAACATAATTTATCACTTCAAACACACTCAGAATATGTTCAGCCTTTGTTGAAGTACTTAAGTTTTATTTGTGGCATACATCTGTAGTTAACTTTTGGGTGTTGAGCATTGTTTTAAGTTAAGCTAACCTTTTTTGTTCTACCAGTGCTGAGCTATCTGGTCTCCTCTCGTTGTGGTGATCTGGCTGGATTTAGGCAAAAGACAAGAACAGTGGAGCAGCCGGCTTTTATACCAGAGCTGCCAATTGGACGATACCAAGTGCCTGCCACTTCAAGGGGTGGACCAGGTTTATTTGATTTAAATATTACGTTATTCATTTGATTTGTGCTGGGTAATCTGATATATTTTGAGTTTGTTTACTATCATTGTTTTGATTAAGTAGACAAATTGCACTGTTTTGTGCTTTTTGATGTTAGTTTAGGTCGAGGTGTTTTATGTTTCCCCTATTGAGTGTAACTGATCTAATCAGCCAGTATATATATATTCCCTTTTATTCTGTGTTCTTCAGGTCTTTTGAGAGTTTGTTTGATCATTGCAGTTGGTTCGCTCTGTTATTTTGTTGCTTATAGCCTTAGTTAAGGTCTGTTCTTTTGATCTATTTTCTGGGGCTGAATTTTAGTATTGGTTCTTGTAACTCTTTTTTGGGTGAAATAAAAACTCACCTGCCAGTCATATTGTGTTGCAGCTCAGTCCTTCACAATCTGATGATTAGATACTTTAATTTTTTTAAGTAAATTTTGCAAATAATACTTTTGTACTTCAGAAACACTTTAAATGCAGTACTTTTACTGTAATGGAGTATTTCAACAATGTTTCTACTACTGCAATGGTATTGATACTTTAACTTAAGATCTGACTTTTATTACAAAGTGCCAATATACCCATGTGAAAGACTAAATAGTTTCTTTATTCAAATAAGTACTAAAGTATTAGCAGTAAAATGACAAAAGTAGAAGCACTGGCTCTGCAGAAAAACGATCCCTCTGACTGATATATCATTTATGGCATAATCAAACTATTAACTCTGATGCATTACTGCATAAATGACATTTTGTAGTTTATACACATAGTTTGGTAGTTTTATCTGATTAATGTAAGGTCCTGAAAGATCCTGAAATTCTTCCACACATGATTAGGTTCATTTTTTCCAGACTTGTCTCAAATCTTTGCTGCACAAAATTATTTAAATGGAAACCATACAAAAGTTATAGAGGGGAAATGTCTCTTTGGTGAAACTGAGCTCCTAAACATCAGAAATGTGACAAGAGACATCAAGCAGACAGTGTTTTTGTAAGATATCAGAGTCCAAAAAGAAGCATCTATCAGCTCATGTGCTTTTACATGAAATTTGAAAAGTAAATACAGTTGTGAGAAAAATAGTACTGGACTGAGTATATGTATAAAATGAATAAAATTGAAATGCCTCAGTAAAGTAACTCATATTTGTACCTAAGTACTCTTCATGACTAAGTGTACTTGCTGTTAATTACGAACTCAGAGAGAATTTTAATGAAATGTGCAGTTCTCCTCAGCTCTACAGGGCATTTTAGCAACTTCTAGCCAATACTAACCTGTTGTATTTGTTTTATAGATTCTAAATCACTCTCACTATTCCAATAATTTTACTTCAAATGGAAAAGCTCTAAGAAAGTCATTTTACCTGCCACCTGTGCAGCACCTGAAGAAATTAAAAGGTGAGTGTTGTGTCAGCTTGGCCAACAAAATCTGTTATACAGGTTGTTTTTTTTTATTTAACAAAAGCTCTACATTTCTGTTGTTTAGACAAAAGGTCATAGTCATTAATTTGTTATATTTATAAACCATACACAACACTGCCTCGTATTTTTGACAAGCATTCCCATATATTTACTCCACATTTGTCCGAATCCCAGTGCATAAATTTCGATTTGTTGTGATATTTTTCATTGTTCTGTACTTATTTCCCTCTAAAACTCTATAGAGATCAGTTAGTTATGTCTGCACTTCCTCCTCTATCACAGAGGCCCCTTGGATCATGCACACAAGCTCCGAAAACTCAGCTCAGCAGCTTATGATTGCATTGGTAGTGGGTATTCTAGGTATAAATAACCGTGTGGAGTGTGCGGAGTCGGCTGCTGTAAAAATACATCGTGCTCAATGTTTGTGTGATGGGTCTTAGCTGTAATTGATTTGACAGGAAAAAACTTATTTTCACACTTTCCAAAGTTACTGCAGCGCAGCTATTGCACAGCTGGAATGAGGTTCTGGAGATAAAGCGTCAACTCATTTTCCACATTAAAAGGAGACGGCGCCCTCTGCTGTTCCTCGCCATCGGATGCTCCAGCGAGTTAATGAAACAATTCAATAAACCCACCCAGTGAGGACATCGGGCCTTCTAATGTTTCTTTCAATGCTGATAAGACTTGAAGAGCCAGTGGCACTCTGCATGGCGTCTCAAAGGCTTTAAGTGCTCCAAACCCCTCTCCACGCTGCTGGAGACTATAGATTTAGTTGATTTCGGGCTCAGTGCTCCCTGCCTCTTCTAATAGTCAGAAAATGTTTGACACTGCATAAAAAATACTGTTTTCAGCATACTAGGTAAAGTACAGTTTGACAAACACCAACATAAACCTGATCTGTTGATTAATGAAAGTATTTTAATTTCATTTCCCGCTCAGCTTGTGTTTTCTTTACTAAGCACTTCAGTTCTACATCGCTTCTAATTAAAAGTTAAATTATCTTTCTTCATTCTGCAAATGGGAACCGTTGAAAAAAACGTTGAGTGAAAGGACAGTAAGACAACTGTGATTTATATTTTTAATGGTTTGCTTGACACTGTCATCAAACCCATCACACAAACAAGATTTGAAATGTTTTATTTTAATAGAACTTTGGACAACCAAATATGTAAAATAAAAAAGAAAACCAACAGCAAAAGTGAAATTTCATTCACTAGTTTTGTTTTTTTTTTCCTTAAAAAAATATCAGCCTTTCCCCCGTGTTCACAAACCGTTTGAAAACCAGGACAAACAGAAATAACATGGTCAATTCTGAGAAGCTTGGAAGGCCATTAACATTTGTTGGCAAATATAAATATAGTGGTTTGAACAGGGTCTCAAATAGCTCACATGGAAAGAGTGTACAGACAGTTTACACGACAGTAGGACACTCGGCACTGCCTGTATCAATTTTTATTAATGTAGAAAACCAGGATCCTTATTTACTGATTTTAAATCAATGCATTTATGACAAGTAAATATATACATTCAGCCAGTTCTAATAGTCTCTGGTGTATTGAGTTCGTGATGCCCCTCTGATCACGTTGATTGTCTATTCAGGGGCGTAATTGTGAGAGTATGTGTAGTCTGTGTAGTAATCCTGTGGCCCACCCCTGCCTGCTGGGTAACCCCAAGGACTGGGCACACCTCCAGTCCCATCCCCCCGTTCGTGTCCTCGCCCTGGCCGAGGCCAAAGTCCTAGCGGTGGGACTCCTCTCCCCCGGTAGTTTCCTAAAGAACCAGGGCCCATAGCACCCCGCATAGGCCCGTGGTCCATCTGTCCAGGGATGCCACCTATACTCCCGTAGCCCACACCACACATTGGATGCAGAGGCAGCTTAGGTCTGAGTACAGAGCCCCCCCTGGTGGCTACTGTAGGAATGCCCACAGAAGCTCCAAGGCCGTCAGCGCAATTCACCTGAGTCCTGCCCCCCTGACTACCAGGAGCGCAGCCTATAAGGGACTCCCCAGTCTTAGGGAGCCCACTGGGGTCCACTGGGCCAGGTGGGACCACACCCTGGCTGCTGGCAGTCTCACAAGCGGAGGTGGTCCCTGCTGTCCCCCATACACCCTCCCCGGGTCCACCGAGTGTCCCGTCGTGCTGCGAGGGGGTCCCGCTGGCATTTTTAGGAATGCCGGCCATGTAACCTGGCTGGGGTTTGTCACTATGGTCTGTGTAGGGGAGGGGGGTGGTGGTGAGCGGAGAGGTACCAGTAGCCCCGACTCCTCCAGCGTCCGAGGAGTACGAGTGACCCAGCATCATGAGGTGAGGTGGAGGGGGAGGTTTGACCTCCAAGGGGAGGGAAGCCAGGTTGGCTAGAGGTCCTGCTGCACCCATGACAGGTGGGGTTGGGACTGTGGAAGAAGCCGTGGTCGGGGGTCGGTACTCCTGATCGTGGGTGCTGCTGCAAGGTGAGGCGGGATAAGCTGGGGACGCGGCATAGCTAGAGGACCCAGTGTAGGACGACCACGAGGCTGAAGGACACAGGAAGCTCTGGTGGGGATTCACAGGAAAACCTCCGGGTGACAAGCTGCCGATTTCTGAAGAACCTATGCCTATCTGGTTGGTGGCTTTAAACTGAGAGATGGCTGTTTTGAAAGCACTGTAGTCGGAGAGCGTTGGAGTACTCTCAGGGGTGGCCTGGTGGTCTGGGAGAGGAGGACGAAACTCCTCCATCTCCGGCGGGGGCGGCAACGGAGGTTTCCCCTTCTCAACTTCCTGGTTCCGCTCTGAGGGATCTGATATGGTTGGTGGCTCACCATCATCAGAGTCTAATGACATGTCCTCCTCTTCCACACACTCATCATTCACTACTGGGAGAGCAGCAGAGGGCAGATAGAGAGAAATGGAAGAGTGGGAAGAAAGATATTATCAACAAATGTGTTACAGAAGCATTAACAGCATCAATTGTATTAAAAAAAAAACTGCCTGGTAGTACATAAATCTTTAACTGCCGGGATAGCTCTAGAGAAAAAAGACAATTTAGCAAAACAATTACACTACAATAAAAGTGAAATCCCAAGTGTTTTGGTGCTCAGTGCTTCTGTTGACGCTACCCACCAGTAGAAGGCGGCGTCGGAAGCTCATTCTGATTAATGGATCCAATCAGACTGTGGAAACCGCTCATAACATCATCGATGCTCGCTATCACTATTCCATTTCTGGAATACTGCAGGAACATCTCAAATGGCCTCTCTGTTTACAAAAAAAAAAAACACATATATATATATATCAGAACGAAAGAAAATTACATCTTTCGAGGAGTCATAAACAGTGGTGAACACAACATTGTTTATTCTTTTTATTATTCTAATCATGGATACACTTTATTGAAACAGAACGCATTAGGGATAACACAATTTCAGCAGTGACAAACAAAGTTGACACTAGCAAATAGATAAAGTGCAAGGTAATAAAGGCGAGGATGGATGAAGATACCTGTGAGGAAGATAAGGTGCCGTTGTTGTGTGTGCTGAGCTTGGAGCTTAATCAGGCATTCCAGATCTGGCGCCTGACGTGACTGAGTGTCACACTCGTGGTAAGGGAGGAACTCCACTAAGTGCTTTTTCTGATAGGTTGTCAGAAGGTTCAACAGCCCCATGGCATTAGTGTTTAACCTTTAAGAGAGAACAGCAAAAAGCAGATCCGCAGTTTTGAGATATTCCTTCAAAGACCAATATGGCTGAAGATTTTGATGTGATAACTATTATTTTCTCCTACTGAGGTACTGACCTCCCCAGCTCCTTAAGCTTCTTCTGGGACTTGCAGTGCACCTTCCACTGCCAGGGGTGTTCAGGGGTACTCTGCTCCTCCAAGAATTTAAGCAGCCCCTGCAAACGATCTGGACGAAACAAGCGATACAAGCTCTGAAGCATCGTCCAACTGATATTTATGCGACCCCACGCAGCTCCCACAAAGAGACGTGAAGCTTACCTTGTGTGATCAGATCAGGGTTGAGGACAAACTCATCGGACACCATGAAGCCTCCAGACACAAACAGCTCATTGTAAGTGTGGTTCTTGACATCGTCCAGAGTGTCCACTCCAGCGAAGCTCACTGAAGGCAACTTCTTCAAGGACACTAGAGCCGGGATCTAGAAGGTGAAAAGATTAGGTTTAACTATTATTCTTATTATTCTTATTCTTATTATTATTAACAACAAATTAAGCCCTGCTATCAATTATTATGGGAAAAATAAACCTAACATGTTTCATACAGCCTTCGCCCTAAGTCGGCTGGGATAGGCTCCAGCCTCCCCGCGACCCTAGTGAGGATTAAGCGGTGTATAGAAAATGGATGGATGTTTCATACACTACTGTGCAAACATTTTAGTCATTATAGATTTTTAGACTCCTGTCCCTTATGTAACACCATCAGGAAAGCATCTGATTGATCCCAAATTCAGTCCGCAGAGTGACACACAGCCGGTGTCATTAAGAGCCATCTTAAAACAGGAGTGCTGTAACAGATGTTATGACCCTACAAGAGCCCTGATCTTAACATCACTGAGTAAGTCTAGGATTAAATTAGGCAACAGAAGCAATGGAGAGCTTGAATCCAAGAAAAAGTTCTTCAAGATACTTAGGAGTACCTCTGAGAATGGTAGCTATACTAAATAATGGGGTTATTTTTGGCTTTTTATTCGCCTTTTTAGTTAACTATTCATGGCGATTTTTATAAAAGCATCCTCGCTTTGCGTAGAGTCGATAAAAGCTTTGCTGCAAATGTAAAAAAAAAAAAAAAAACTCTGATTGATGGCGAGAGGAGGTGGTCGTACCTTGTGCACATGTGCAGCGATGTCCTCGTTCTGAATGATGATGAGTAGCTTATCCAAACTGCCACTGTTTTCTAGAAATGTCTGTGGGCTGCACTCGCTGTTGCCAAGACTTTTCAAGTACTCCTTTGTGACAGACAGGAGAGACGTAATTGTCAGAGACAGACAGATGAATGTGTCCTCCTCTCTTACACATACAAGTACTGACTGACTGACAGATACAGAAAGAGCTGAGCACTGAGACATGAACACATAGTGACAAACAGGAGCTAGTGCAGCATTTCACATTCTCCCTATCGACTAGTATTTTCACTGTGTGTGCCTGGGCAGTTCACTACTGCAGAAAGCTTTAAAAAAAAAAAAAAAAAAGCAATCTGAGAACATGAAATAAAATTAAAACCATGTACAACAATGTAATGTGGGCAGTAATTATTACATGAGGACTAACGCCTCTTTGTGTTATTGGTTACTGACAGTTTAGTCCGAAGAAAACAACCCAAAAAAGCCCAGGGAAATAGTGGGAAAAGTTCCATTCAGCTTCTTACTAGCCCAAAACGATGCCTTTACATCTCTTGTTTTATCTGCGCAACAGTCCAGATATTAGATTTGTCAAGATATCCAACTGATTGTTACATATGAACATGAAAAACAGGAAATCCTTAAATCTGAGAAGCTGAAACAAGCACTTGATTATCAAACACAGGCTAATTGTTGCCGCTCTAAATAATATTGCAAAGTAGCGCTAAAGCTCTTTGATGGAACAACAGAAAAAGGATTAGATAGATAATCTAGTAAACAGTGTCTCAGCAGTTCCAGTTTGGCAAATGGGAGGATTTTTAATTTTCTGTTTATCTCCGACTCTCATATTGAATAAAACAAGCAATTTGAATATATCATCAGAGGTTCAGGTAACTCAGCATTTTCACTATGTGCTGACACTTTAGAAGTTAAATAAATCATTGCATATACATTTTTTAAAAATCTTTAAGACTGCAGTGAAACCTTGTGTTATACCTTAATCTCCTTGCAGACAGTGCTCTCGTCCCCTTCGTCTTCAGAGTAGATGTAGAATTTAACCGTGTTCTTGGTGACGTCCTTAAAAATCTCCACCAAGCTGCTGAAAACCTCAGGCTTCAGCTGACCAATGAGGCTGCCAGCCAACAGGCCGGACCCGCTGCCAGAAGCGGAGCCTGGGTTTTGAGAATTTCGCTCCGGAGAGTCTGATGTGACTTGAGAGGGTGAATAGATATCTACCCCCAACTCTGCTGACGGGGCTTCTGATTTAGCCTTAGCGGATGCTGTCTCTTTGACGGTGCCCGTTTTAACACTGTGAGATGAGGTGGTGCTCTTTGACGGGGCGGGCTCGGCTTTAGTTTTGGAAGTCTGGATAGGGGCAGGGGGTGGTGTTGTAAGATTAGATGTTGTCACTGGGGGAGGTGGAGATGTGACCTTAGTGGGAGCAGGTGGGGATGGGATCAACTTGTCCATCTTCTCACACAGTGCTTTGACATGCCCCTGAAAGGGGACGGGGGTGACGTAGGGTACAACAAAGTCTGAGAAAGAGCTGTTGGGCTGCCAGCAGTGGCGTGGAGGCAACCGTGGGGGTAGTTGCGAGGTATAGCAGATGTGGTGAGTCTGCATGATGTTTTTAATGTCAGAAGTGAGGCTGTGAATTTCCTGGTTGAGTATGGTATCCAGGCTGATGGAGGGCCTGAAGTTAACCTCCTCTGCAACTGGTACCGTTGGTGCAGTCGCCTTTTTCGCTTCAACAACTGCAGGTGCCTTCGGCTCTGGTTCGCTGTCCACCAGCGTCGCTGCCTCTGGCTCTGGCTCGGGCTTTGTTTCAGGGAAAGGCTGTGCTGTGTCTGGAGGAAAGCAGACAGGAAACTCATCACAGTGATGCCTTGTCAACAACATCTAAACATACCCACAAGAGAGGAGTCTGTGTGAACTAAGTGCTTTGAGGTACCTTCAACAAGAGGGATATTCCAGACTGGGTTGGCTACGGTGTCCGCTTGCTCTGCAGGGGAGCCTGTGCTGAATGGACTACCAGGACTACAGTCCATGTCCTCCTGAGCAGAGGAAACACAGCAGATATTTTTAGGTCAATGAACACATGAATTTTAAAATGTTCCCACTCTAGAATCAGCTGTTCACATCTCACCTCTGTGTAGTTAGTTTGTAATGCTGGCTCAGTTTGTTTCCTAAGATCTGGATCAGGGAGAACAGGCTCCACCCTTCCTGAACCTGTTGATGGTTCACCGTGGTTTGCCTGCACAGACATGGAACCCTGAGCCACGGCTTTATTTAGTGTGGCAAGAAGGATCTTGAGAAGGCGTTGTGTCTCGTTGACTGTAGAGGTGTTGGCGTTGCCCCGGGCCCTCAGGTCAGTGTCGTAGATGCCCATGCTTTCCATTACTGCCGTCAGATTGTCGTTCTGTCCACCCTCTTCTCCAGTTTCATCTGCCTGGGCTCCTGTGTGGAGACACAAAATTATTCAGAGGAGATATTGTTAATTCATGTACTAGAACATCCTGAGCTCTGACAGCTCGCTGACATATTGGACAATATTAGTTTATAGCAAATATGGCAGTGGTTCTGAAACTGCAGCGCAGACATGCCAAAAAGGGGTTTGATGTAATTCCCCATTACAGTTTGTCCATATGTCAACAATTGTGGTAGCAGCTGTTTCACAGACACACAGCTACAACGCTTACCAACAGATATACAGGAATCCTTAAATAACACTGTTCAGAAAATAGATTTAAGTCATTTATTTGCAATGAACCAATCAGACTATGTGTTGAAACTGTCAAAATATTCATTCCTCTAGAGGAGCTGACTTTGAAGGCAGTGGGTGGAAATGCTCGAAAAACCAAAATCAAATTAGACAATTTAAATCAAGCTACACAAGCATTTGCAGCCCATCTCACCTCTGCTGGGTTCCCCGTTGCTCAACTGATCAGTGCGTTGGTGTTTGTTCATGCCTCCCCTGTCATCCCCTTCAAATTTCCTTTTCAGACTGTTGGCGTCCCAGGCGCCGTCCTCTCCCCGTTCTTTCCCAGGATCCTTCACGAGTGCTTTCTTGTGCAGTTGGATCAGTTTAAGCAGCTGTTTCATCTTGTCTTTATCATACTCATTCTGGGACAGCCGCAACCTCGGAGGCTGAGGCTGAGGCTGGGTATCGGCGTGGGATTTGTTTTTCGACTGGGCCCCATTTGAATTGGCCAAACCTGGCCTCCGTCTGCTGCTGTCTGGGGGCGGTTTCTCCTGGGCAGGCTTCTCTGCAGGCGGCCTTTCCTGGGATAGCCTTTCTGAGGGTCTCTCTGCTCTGTCTGAGCCCCTATCTGAGCCCCCCCAGTCAGAAACAGGGCTGTATTCCACTGGGGCAGGAACAGGTGCCAGTACAGGTATAGGTGCAGGGTTCCGTATTCGTTCAATGATGTCCTTTGCTTTGTTCAGAGGTAAAATGTAGCTGGCAGCGTTGTGGACATAAGAACGCAGCACAGCATCCATGTTAAATTTGGGTCTGGGTACCGGGAGAGGGTTCGTCCTTTCATCCACATTATATTTGTAGTCGGGCAGAATGAATGGCCGTACCGTGCCCGAATCCATACGAGTTAGGTATTCGGTGGCGTGACGCTCCACCCCAGAGCTTAGGTCCTTGCCTGGGTTTGGGCGCAACTTGAACAGAGCGTAGTGAAGTGAAGGGATGAAAGGCTCCATGGAGGACATGGTGGCTGGCTGGGGCTCCGCAGTCAGCGGCTCAGGCTCAAACAGTCGCGATGCTAAGATGGAAGGCACATGTCAGTGTCACAGAAGAGACTCACATCTACAGCAGCAGTGTCTTGAGTGACAGAAGCTTAATAAAAACCAACATGGGAGCTTCTAAAGTCTTTTTTTTTTTTTTTTTTTTTAATAGTAGGAGCTTTCTATAGGTAGATATCACAAAGATATTTAGCGCATCCAAAAACTATGTGTTCTCCTATAAACCATTTCAGTTTCATATTTCACGCAGGTGCTGGCACTCAGGCTCAGTCAGAAAAAGGATGTACAGACAGTGAATATTACTTACAATACTTGACAACCATCCTTGACTCCTGAAAGATGAATAATGCTTGCAGGTTCTTCTCAGCCCGCCCCCGCCGCTCTAGAAAACAAACAGCAGCCTTTTTAAAACTGAACCCTCACTGGAGGCAACAAGTAGGTGTTCAACTGACACAACAGAGAAAGTCAAAGAGAGGAAGGTAAGTAGGGGGGGGGAGAAAAAAAAGCTTTCTGGCACCTTTGGAATCAACCATCTGAGCTGAGGACAACAGGAAGAGAAAGCCCCTGTCAAACAAGGACTTCACCAGCACCTGAATAAGGAGAGTAGACACTGCAGTCAGAAACACCAGGGTTTGAGCAATCAGAAGGCTTTCACGTACTCCTTGTATTATATTGACAATATTATAGTGTTAAGTTACTGAAAAGCAAAACAGAACAAGAATGACAGCTGGATAGAGGTTATTCCTACAACATATTTTGTTAAAGAGGAAAGAGAATCATTTAAAGGAACAACGCCCTCCCTAATCACATCAAATTAGGAAACGGAAATACAACACTTATTTATTTATTGCATCTCCTTGTTGTCAGACAAACCAAGAAGGACCCCCCCAATTGTATTTTTTTTTTCATATATGAATCCTGGACGTCCTCAGGTTATTTTGTTTACTACGCCGAAGCAATTCTGTGTCGTTTTGGAATTTTCTTGTCCGAGAACCAGGTAAGTAGCAGGTACGTGACTCACCATCCGGTCCCTCTCCAGTTTGCTGACCAGTGCTGCCAGGCTGCCGGTGGTTGGTTTGCCTTTTCCATCCACCACTTCAAACAGGCTGCAGGACATCCCACACTTCATCACTGCAGACAAAAATATGCAGGTTGAAACACATGAGTCAGAATTCCTCTATGAAGTCATTTATATTCTGCACGCAAAATAATGCATTGAAATAAAGCTTTTTTTTTCAACTTCTATGGATTTACTCTGACAGATGTAATTGTGCTTCATGATGCAGCAAACGCTTTCGGAATGGCCTCAGAAAGGGAATTTCAAGTAATGCATAACCGCCCACAAGCCTGAGCATTTTTCTATCTCAATGTTTTTTTTTTTTAAAGAGATATACAAATGCGTGGTATGAACTGACCTTCCCGTGATATGCTGTAGGTGTCCCAGGAAAAAAGCACAGAGGGAATCTTTCGCTTCACCTGCTCCAGCTGCATGGCTCGATTCACCTCCAGTTTCTCAGGCCTGCAAGGGAGAAGTGGAGATTCATCGAATCAAAACACAATCCAGACAATAACTGTACATCGCACAAGCATATTCTAACTTTTTCTCCTCATGTACAAAATATGGGCAGTGTTAAAGTTCAGAAGAAAAAAAGTATTTTATTGCAGAAAGACTCTCAAAAGATTTGCAGGGCAATATATAGCAGTGCTGTGGATGGATGTGTAGAAATGCATATACCAGCGTGAGAGACTGAAGGTTTACTCACAGTTTGAAAGGAAGGTAGGGGCGCGACGAGGATCGTAAACAGATTGGAAACAACTCCTGGCCCTTGTTCACTAGTGGGCCACTCCACACAGTGTAGCAGCTTTTCCCTGTTATGGCATCAACAGCACAGGTCAAAGGTCAGACATGGCACAGAGAGAAAACACTGCTGATAACTTTACATAACCTCCGGATTCAATTGTCATTGAAAAAGGCATATACACAATCCTCTTTTTGCACCTGCTGTTCAATCCAGTTTGGATAACTGTGAGAAAATGCATTCTTCACGAACCAACCCGCAGTGAACTTAAACATCAGCGTGTGAATGTTAGATTTAAGGTAGTTTAAGAAGCAATGTTTTTACACTAATAACTCATCACAGCAAATTCCTTTTCACGCAGCCGGCAGACTGTTTTCTGTTTCTAATATAAAGTGGCCTTAATACACATAAAGCAGACAAGGTACAAAATTAAGACAACGCACAGAAGATTAATGAAATATCAAAGATTAAATAAAGGTTTTACCTCTGCTTCCTTCAGGGGAAATTGTGTTAAACCTGTTCAAAAGACAAATAAAGATCCTATTTAAAAACACAGCCTATGAATACTTGCTGAATTTCACCATTTCCTGCAGGATTATGTACCTGTGTGCAGTCATAGGAGCCGCTGCAGCCTCCTTGCCTTTGTACTGAAAGGAAACCACAGCGTAGGGGCACACGTGCCTGGGTCGGGCCTTGATCTCATCAAATGCAAACTCAAAAAAATATTGCTGCGAGACAGCAAGGAAGACACGTTAAATTACAGAATAAAATAAAAAAGAATAAAAATGCACACAATTAATAAACAATGTGTGAACAAATAGGAACAGCATTTACCTGTGTGAGCTCAAAAGCCCTGTAAGACAGCAAAGACGTGACCCTATTGGCACTTTTGGACAAGTGACAGTCAAACTTGGGTGTAGCTTCCATTGCATTCTTAGGCATGTTCTCGTGGATGTGCTTTATTCGCCCCTGGGAGAAAAAAAAACAAAACAAAAACATGTTGATTGCCTTGAAGTCCTGGAAATATTAGAAATCTATCAACGTTACGTCATGAAAATAGAATGACAGCCATACCCTCATAACTTTAAAAACGATCATGTCTCCAATTGAGCCAACTTCAAAGGGATTGATTTGTAACAAATCTGAATATTTGGAGAGATAAACACCTACAATGACAAAAGAATTTAATTAGAGGAAAATCCATTTTTTTAAAAATCAAATCAAATTAGAAAAGATTATGTCAATTACTTGTTGATGCTTAAGGATGATACTGAGAAATATTCCAAAGTGTTCGTTCTGTTTGTGCATGTTTAGTTTTGTAGAAACATATTGCCAATACGTTGCTGCACATGTTAGAGAGATTCCCAGCTGTTTCTTTTAATTGGTGTGAGTTATCAGGGAAAAACACGACTCAAAAAACTTCAGATGCAGCTCAGTTAAAAAAATATGTTTCAAAATGCATTTCATCAAAAAAAGAAAACCAGTAACTCTTCTATAGCAAAAACAGTTTTCCTGCAACATTCAAGACACCAGCTTACCCGTTGATGGATTTCCTAGTGTAGTAATCCTACAGTGACCAACCGACAGACCCTTCTCGCAGATCCACTGGAGCTGGACGTAGCAAATACATACCTCAGATTAATGTTATAGCCCATCATGCTTTTCTAACTTGTCAATCATTCGTTATGTGCGGAAGTGAGGGCTTTGCGAGCAGGCTCACCTTGGATTTGTCTGGATAAAGGAAACAGTACGACTCAGTCAGCTCCTGGTCCGTCCTCCCCTCCTGCTTCATCTCTCGCCGCTTCTCGATGAACTGGCACACGAAGGCAGGGGACGGTTAATGAGATATGGCAGTTGAAACCTCACTAACTCAAGAGTGTGTAACTTGGGAGATGTCTGTGTAGATTCTCAGTCGTGGTAACTCTCAAGAGTTTTAGTAAAACTAACAACTGGATCTTCTTCTTCAGAGTGGAACCAAAAAAAAGAAGCCCAGGTGTTCTTTGTACTCAAGCTCTTACGATAACTTAAGACATCACAGGTTGAAAATACCTTTCAGAATTCAAGCATTGCTGAGATGAACTTAGCAGAGTGGAAACAATTTAAGTTTTGCTTCACTTTATACAGAGAGACAGTCACCTACCTCCTTCTCAAGCAGCTCATTGTGAATTAGCCTGGCCTTGCAGTAGGAGAAGGATCCCCGTGATGACGAGTCTAGATAAAACGAGGAGACAATCTTCACAAGGTCCTCAAACTCCCGACTGTCAGGGGGCAGAAAGTTGTACAAGCCTGCACACATGGAAGTGAATCAATGGGTTAGCACACAGTACCTCCAACTTATGGAAATGTGTGATTGTGCAGAGGAGGATCACAGCAAAAGGGAGCATAGTAAACTGAAAAGGCAATAAATGCACGCTCCATCAAACTGATCACTCAGAAGATGATGCGACATTAGGATTTCAAATGTAAATGTATGGCTATTTCTTTAAAAACAAAATGTGTGACCTGTGACCTTAGCTCGATGTGTACATCACGTTATCCCCTAAGACAACAGGCACCAGAGAAAGCGACGTGAAGTAAATGCAATAAACCAGCATCCTATTCAGAACTTATTTTCCTTGTGTTACAGCAGCAACAACAACAGCTCGTGAAATGTGTTTTTTGGAAGGAAGTAGTTGGTAGGATTTGGGGGTACAAACGATCAGCTAAAGTAACTACAACTCCTTTGCATCAAGGAAGTGCGGCACGAGCGACCAAACCTCACATCTGCCTTTATTTACATAAGGGCTATCATGCCAACCAAACTCATGCAAAGTAGTGAAACCATCACTAGCTGACTACAGGTGTCCTGGATGGAGCATCATCAGCATCAAAGCTGTGGGGACACAAGTAGTAAACATGAAGCCTAGAGACAGGCCAATGGAGAGCACACACATCCAAGCCAGCCTCTCAGCTGTCATGTCACAATCATAAGACATTTTATACATCATTTATGCAACCTAACGGGGATTGGGGGGAGGGGGGGAGTTGAGAACACAGTGCAAGCATGGCTGCTTATGACAGGTCACCTCATCTCAACTTTGCACATATGCAAATAATTGGTGCTTCACAGCAACAACCACTGTCCAGCTAATGCTTTGCTAAGGGTACTTCCAGCTGTCAAAGATGGGGCCGTGATGTGGGAGGCTGCGTGGAGGAGAGCTGCTGAGGTGATGTGTAACAGGGATGCTCTCAAATACCACTAACATCAAGTTGGGGTAAGGGATGGGCCGCCCGCCATGGAGATCATTAAATGTGCCATGGTGCTGTGAAAAGAGTTTGGATGGAGGGGTGGGGTGGATAAATCCATGCCCTTCACTGAGGTCACAGAGACACCCACATGTTGTCAGGTGATGCCTGCTGGACACCCATGACTCCAGCTGCATCACTCAGTCACACTACGGTCCCATGAAAAGGTGAAGACCCTCAAACAAGGTGGGCTTTGAGCCGGACAGTCCTCAGAGTGCCGCTTTCACAGCAATGTTGCTGCTAACTTGGGACACCTGAGCCTGACCACCAAAAGCAGGCGTTATGTCTGCAAACAGCGCTACACCAATTAGGCCCATCCATGTGCTCACACAGCAGGACGACAATCTCATTTAAACCCGGAGTGTCGCTCAACATTTCGGTAAACTCGTTAAACTAGAAAAAAAAAAAAAAGAAAAAAAAAACAGCAGCCAGCTAGCTAGCAGGCTAGCAACATGCAGCAGCAGAATTATAAAAGACAGGACAGGCTCTGTTCAAAATAGCAGCGATATGGCACCACCTTTCCGTTCTCTTATCTTCCTCGGGATTTGGAAATTTCTCCGTGGCAGCTCTTCGCTCGACCTCTGGGCTGGCAAAGGAGAGCTGCTAATGCTCCGGGCGTCCGGCTGCACGCTCCTCCGCCGCTCAGGGGCTTCTTGTTCGGGCATTACACTGTCTCCACATCCAGGCTGATCGCCATTTTGGTTGGCTGTGGCCGAGGTGGCGGCTGAATTCTTCTGGGGTTCGCCGCCCTCCGGCTGGAGATCGCCCGTCTCGGTACATTCTGAGTCCCTTTTTCCCACCGCGCTGGGGTTCAGGGCCATTTTCGGGCTCCGTGCACGTATTGAGGGCAATGTAGCTCTGACGATTACGGCGCCGCTTTACACACACTCTCTCCTCCTCACCCAGCCTCCGCCATTGTGAAAATGACGTACACGTTCTTCTCCACCACTGCAAAACGCTGCCGTCACTGTTTACATACGAGAAAATCCGCGCCACCCAGCGGCCGATGCGCGAACTGCAGCCACTGATGGAATGATGGAACCAGTGAGTGGACATTATGTGAAAGTGGAAATAGCTCTCACGTTCAACAACATACAGTAAAATGAAGGTATAGGGTGCAGCCAAGGCTGTGTAATACCTCTAATGTGCTATAAATCCCTGTCTGTGCATGATTACATGATGCATACTGACACTGTCATGCATCACCTCTATTTTTAGAGCACCTGTTGGAGATCTGCTTGATGCTTCACAACAAATAACTACTGATATACCTAAAACCTTGCATGTGGAAGCAACCGATAGAACAATCCCACAGTTGTAATACTTCATTCCACCACCAGGTGATGCCAAAGAAGCAATGCATCTTCTATGTAATAAAAGCAATATATTATCCATACACCACTTAATCCTCACAAGGGTCATAGTCTATCCCAGCTGACTCAGGGTGAAGGCAGGGGACACCCTGGACAGCTCACCAGTCTATCGCAGGGCTACACTTACAGACAGACAACTATTGGTATGTGCAGGAAAAGGGTTAAATATATCTAAAGATGCACACTTTTTTCAGTTGCTCAAATGGTGCCATTTTTTAACCACCAAGCTAACCCACAATCTAATCCAGTGTGGCTTCAAAAGATAATGATCAGACAGCATGACAAATCAGACACTTGTTTGACCAGTGTTTATAAAAGGCCATCTTAAAATGCAGCTTTATTTCAAATACACGATGCCACATATGATGAGGCAGTTTATTGGCATGCAGGATGCTGGTACAACAGTTAGGTGTCCACAACTCCACCATTTGTCATCTAATCTAACATCAGCATGGTGTGACAGACAATCTGCCACATGAGAAAGGGACATTGCTTGATCCTGTCCCCGAAAATGTCCACCAACATCACCAAGCCCTTCGGGAAGAGTGGGAAAATATCCCACAAGTGGCATCAACAACCTCATTAAGTCCATGTGTCACAGATGTGTGGTTCTGATCAAGAATGACCCCGCTCTTGATCTACCTGTTATTATTTCCAATTATGACGTCCTTACTGTTGTAGAGATTCTGTGTGTTGTAAATACAAAAACTTAATTCCCCGTGTAAAAAGAATGCTTACTTAATAAAACATTTCATGCTACATTTATGTTTTTCTGTGTACAGCAAACATGTCACTTTCAAAACACATAACACAAGGCAGAAAGCCAACGGATACTCATTAGTCTCTGTGACATCTGCGAATGTGATTTCATTAGGGGGCGACCATGCTGCCTCTGCTGTAAACATCAAACTCCTTGTAGCGTAGGTAATCTTTCAGCCTTGGAGGAAGAGGAAGGAAGTTGATAAAAACTGGAGCTCTCAACCGCAGACGATTGAGATGCTCCCTTATGCGCAACCGACACAGGTGCTTCAGGCTCCTTGCATTTCCTGTGAGGCAAAAAAAAGTAAGTCAAGTCAATGAATGCATGTTAACTTTTGTTGATAGGTGACAAATACAAAGTCTAATGATGGATTTGCAGCAGCTCTCACTTTGGACTTGACAGATTTCTGGCCACTGTTTCTCGTCCTGCAAGGTGTCCTTAAGTTTGGTGCAGAAGGAGACGTGGTCGGTGTAGTCGAGCATGATGCGCACCACCTGGGCAGATATGTGCTTGAGCCAGGACACTGTTATCACCTCACAGAACTAGAAGGGACAAAGACAAACACATAGCATTCAAAGAAGATCCTTGAGGAAAAGCGTTGGTCTCCCTGCATTCTTTTCAAGCTTGGCCTCACCACCATGTCTTTGATGACTGCAGTGGTCCAGGGAGCATAGTCGTGGGAATTGTTCCCATAAGGGCAGTCAAAGCAGCGATTGACATCATAGCCATGGTTCAGGATCATTCTCAACATAACCTCGTCCTTCAAAGCGTACTGCAGCGCCGAGGGGAAGTGAGTGGTGTTGACACGGGAGTAGTAGTTGACATTTGCCCCAAATTTCAACAAGGTGTTGATCATTTCATAGTTGCCCTGTCTAAGAGCCACCTGTAGACAGTTGACAGGATCCTGGTTCACCATCGCCCCAGCCTCTAACAGCAAGCGGGCGCACTGAAGATCATTGTTGGACACGGCAAAAAAGAGTGCAGACCTACGCTCGTCATCATAGTTGCGGCGCACCCTGGGGTGCAGCATGAAGTTTGGGTCGTGGCCAGCTTTGAGCAGTATCTCTACACATTGAGCGTGTCCCCCAGCAGCTGCAGAATGGAGTGGACTCATCCCACTTTCCTTCACAGCGTGCACCTTGGTCACTGGGATGAGGAGTTCCAGTGCCCTGTCAAAGAGGGGATTATATGTAAGAACATGGCATTAGGTGAAATTCTATTTGAAAAGTGGAAAAGATAACAGAGATATTCCTCACAGTCTGTGTCCATGGTATGCCACACGGTGAATTGGTAGGTGTCCACTGTAAAGAGGGACGTTGGGATCTGCTCCGTGGTCTAGCAGCAAGGAGATTATGTCAGGGTTTCCTGATGCTGCTGCATCAAACAAAATCGTACCTGACTCTGATTCACACCACACATGGGCTCCTGCAAAACAGATACAGAGACTATAAGGATTTTCCTTTACTAGGAGATGTGCTGTATTTGTTGTGTTGCTTTTCTCTCTCTGCAGTGACGGATAAAATAGGTAGGTGGGCTGCTTTTGTCTCTTGTGGTATTACAGTATTGCAAAACATCCTGGCCAAAGATGAATCTTTTCTGTGTGAATAATGTGTGTAGAGTCTGTGTTGTGCATCAGCTACACAAGAAAAGGCAAAAGGAGGTTATTTACCTTTCTGTAACAGAACCTCCACCACACTGAGATGTCCATTCTGTGCAGCCAGAGCCAGTGGAGTTTTCTTCTTAATGTCAGATGCGTTTGGGTTGGCACCAGACTCCAGGAGCAGATACACAAAGTTCTCCAAACCTAAAAAGGCAGACTCATGTAGAGCTGTCCTGTTTAGTGGTCCTGTTTGGTCTATTTTGGCCTGGTACCTAAGCAGTAGTGTGGCCAAGTCATACTGGTCATTCAGAATAGCTACGAGACAAGGAGCAGGAGATTAGAATGAGAGTGTATCACATACGTTTAGGTGTCTGAAAATGAAATCTATTTTGCATTTAGGCGAACTTAGTGTCTCATACCTGCTACTAACGGAGAATCCTGCTCATCGTTCTGAATGTCTGGGCTACAACCATTCTGTAACAGGAATGTAGCATTCCCTCTGAGTCCATGGACCACAGCCAGAAATAGTGGCGTCTCACCCTTTAGAGTACGACATTCGGCTGCACCCGGGGGTGATGCTGGAATCCAAACATCTGGGAATTGGTGTGCATGCCATGATTGTAAAGAGAAGTTTGTATGGCCAAACATTAAAGCCATACCAACCTGAGAAGATAATCTCTAATGTGTTTTTGTTCTCCTGCACTGCAGCTTCATGGAGGGGGATCCATCCTCGTTCATCAACTCTGGACAGACACTCCGGTTGCACGACAAGTCTGTTTAGTGCACACTCATCGCCTAAATGTGAAGACGGGACACATATCAGAACTTCTGGCAACATTTATGATTGTGTCTGAATCTGACAGGTTAAAAAAAATAAAAAAAAATAAAAAAAAAAATAAAATAAATAAATAAATGAATAAATAAATGTCAGCTTACCTTCCTTGATTGCTTTAAAAATTTCATCTGGATCTTCACTGGGTTTTAGATCACTATCAAAAAATAATTGCACAAAACAAGGGTTCACACAATAAATAAGAAATGCACAATGTAAAGAAAAAGACATGTACATAATAGGTTGATAGAGATTAACCTTGGATTCAATCCTTTGAGTTTTCTATATTGGATCAGACTTTGCTCAATTATATATTGCGTTGCCTCATCTTCATCCAGGTCATCTTCCGACTGATAAAAGTCATCTTCTGTTTCTGTGCTCATCTGTTAGTCCAACAAGAGTCAATGCAGAAGGGTCTGCTCTGAACAGACACGGGCATGAGGTAAACATGACCATTAAATCTGGGAACTGCACACCACTTACAACCCTGAATACCAACTACAGCACAGCAAAGGGCAGCAGAGCATGCAATAGTAGCAGTCCTATTCTTGCTTTAAGTGACACCAAAATGCATTCAGAAGATTAAATCTTATGATTCCAGTCAGGCATGTTGTGTGCTAAGTTTTTGCCCGATAACTGTTTACAGCAGAATTTATGGTATTTATTGCTCAGCATGGCCAAAAGAAAGGCATGGAGATTCCTACTGCACAAATGATTGCTGTGAGCGTTTCTTAACCGTTATTGTCAAGGCAGCAGGCAAAACGGCATCAAGGCTAACACAAGACATTTGAAATTCAACCACATAGCATGGAGGTTCAAATGCTACAAATAACACGCTACAGATCAACAAGTGGCTACACCACAACAGCAACGACCTTCACACTCAACACTAATGAAGTTCTTAGTTAGATGAAATGTTTCTTCATTGTATGATTTTTTACCTTAGGTCAAATGGCTGTGCTCCCTCAGTACTTTCTACACCAATAAAGCCAGTGGGCTCCTCAGTACCCACACATACTGGTGCTATTTATACTCCCCCTGCTATAAATATCAGATCATGAGGTCTTTACAACCACCACCTAGCTTTGACCCACTGAGCACTGCAGCAACTGCCACTGGTTAACACAGTAAACACATTTACTCATAACACAGGATCCATTAAAAAAACATAAATGTGAAATAGCTTAATGCACGATATGATACTGCGTATTTTAATTATTAATGCGGATTGCTGTCTTTGTTGCATTTTTAAATTCCTATGACAATAAGTCACATAGATTATGTTTGCATAAAATGTTCTTTGTGCTTAACACACTGTTAATATTTTATCAGTGAACGTTCACACGAAATGTTGTTTAGCCCACATTCTTACTGCACATAAATAGCTTGGGCGGTACACACAAGTCTGTGGACAGTATCAGCTCGCAGTGACACAACAAGACATCAGCAGGTGATACTGAGAAAAGAGACAAAAGTACCAACTGTTAACAAAAGGCACCGAATGTTTACACTGACAAACGGTCATCTACATGACCAAGCTTTTCTTGCAAAACTAGTTTGGTAGCATTAATGTGCCTTATCTCCAGCTGTCCTGATTGTCATTACAAGCCATGTTTTTAATTATAGAAAGACATTTGAAGAATTATTGTGGCTACTTTTCTGTTACAGTACATGACTTTATATGCAATCAAAAAGACATTAAAATCGATGATTGGAAATGATTGAGACATGAAAAACCCAAAAGTCATACAAGCAATGCTGATTTTATTGTTTAAATGGTTGTAAAACCCTCCCATTCTTTAAGTATTTAAAGAATAATTGCTGTGCACAACCATTATGTACAGCAAATGTAAATGGAGAATAAACATGAAAGTCAATATAAGACACTGTATGCAATATACTTCAAAAATTCCTGTTAAATTATAACCAATGTTGTGTGTTTTTGTTTGTATTTACATGTTTTTGTCTTGGAATCATATCAATAGCTAGTAGTGAGGAACTGAAAGGTGCATAGCGTCATCCTTTTCTATTGAAAAGTCACAGTGCATATTTTATCACTTCTCTGTATTTCAGTGTCTTTGGTTTTATTTGTATTGTAAAATCAGTTTAATGATCTCTTGCGTAGTAGCTGCTGGACAAACTGAAAATGGCAACATGCACCATTCTATATACTTTTCCATAGTTATACACAGCCATCCTCCATCCTGTGTTTAGAAACACATACTCCACAATTGGTCAAAAATAGACATCATGTTTCATTTTGCATTTATGAGGAACACAGAGTTGAAAACAAGGTATCAAAGTAGCATCGAGATGTGCCGCAGAAAAGCAATCGAGTCTTCAGGCCTGCGTTATCTGATCTTAGTCATCAAGCTGGCAGAGCAGGGCCACACCACGCTTAATCCAGTGCTGTGGGCGCGTGTCGATAGGCAACATCATGGAAATGACAAAATTGGTGGAGTGGCCTGTGGTAGAGAGGGTGCCCTTCCTCTCACTGGTCTTGTAGAGAGGGCAAATATACAGTTTCTGAGGCTGATCATTGCTTTTCTTTTGAGCTGCGTGGGAGAGAAGGAACCAAAGAAACAACAACAAAAAAAGGGAAGCAGAGAAACAAGATAGCAGAGAGGAATTAATAATTAGACATGAAACAATAATGTAGTAGAAAAGACACCTGAAAATATACGTGACATGAATGACATGCATTTCATTTGCGATATATCAAAAATACTACCACTGGCAGTGTACAAAATGAGGTATTACTTACTAGGTTTTATCCAGATGATGGGCATCAAGTCAAAGAGGACTTTGGGGTGTTGCTCAGCCAGAACACCACTGATGATTGAGAGACAAACAAAAGCTTATCACGTTTCCCTGCATTTCAATAGTATTGAAAGAAGTGCCACACTATAAAAATGATCCAAAATCGCCATTATGAATAAGGGTCACAATAAATATGTATAAATGTAGTGCAGCATTATTATAAATATTTCCTTCTAAAATGTAGTGGAGTATATAGTAAAAGAAAACTGAAAGACTAAAAAGTTAAAGGTATTGCCATAGTCATTATTTTAAAACCCAGCTTTGAACATCTACCTTCCTTTGTCCCATCGAGCTCCATCCAGAAACAGTCCATTAATGTAAACACCGTCCTCAGGTGCTGTGTCTGACCCATCAATGGAAAGAACCTGTAAGAAAAAACAAAACCACAGGTCAGTACACCATTAGGTCTATAAGAAGAACTTTGGAGCCAGAGAGATTACTATGAGTGCTTCTTCAGACCTCAAAATCAAAGCCCAGCAGGTCAATGGGGACACAGTACTTCCTGGCGTAGTTTTGCATAGCCCCGGTAAGGAAGGCTTGGGTGAAGAAGAACCCAGACAGCCAGAACACACTGGGCTTACTGGTGTCATACCAAACCTACGGGCACACAATGCAAACGTAACTATAAAAGCTCCTATACATGTGTAATCAAGACAGTAGGCTCCCTCTTATCTGAGTGATCATTGCTAACTTGCCTCACCTGCAAAAACTTGAGCCTTGAGAGAAAGTCGTTAATGTAACTGCCCAAAGGCTTGAGGCTCGGGTAAGAGCGCTTGGCCCATTTTTCTGGAACCTTCCCCACCATCAAACTGCTCGCAACCGCCTCAAGCTCTGCATCCATCACCACCAAGCCCTTAATAGCCTTCAACAGGTTTTGTAGACTCACACGAATTGTACTACACAACCTGAGCGAGAAAAAAAAAAAAAAAACAGCAATTAGGTCACATAAAATGGTTGGTGATGTGCTGTATGGCTTAAAGTTCTGCACTGAGCTGTTTGTTCATACGCATTGTATCGCTCCATCTCTTGGACGAGGACAGTGTTCATACTTTCTTCGTAGAGCACTGGGAACTTCAAGAGAGCTGCCTCTGTGTCAAAATTAGCTGGTAGCTAGGGGGAATAAGTAAAAGCGTTAGTTATAAATGTACAGTGCAGTGCTTACAGATTATGATCAAAAAACAAAAAAACTTCGACATGTTAGTTGAAATCATTTGAAGAAATCAAGAAGCATGAATGTCTGTATAAAATATTGTCAATTCATCTACAACAGGGTGAACTGACTGACCAACATCACCAATCTTAGAATAATAAAACAGAGTTTAATTAGTTTATACCTTTGTTAGAATGTCATTGGCGATATCGTACAGGGTGTTGTCGCTGCCAGAGGCAGCCCCTCCTTTAGCCCCTCCACCCTGAGTGAGCAGCAACGAATCAAACAGCAGTTTTGTTTGCTGCAAGTCTTTAGAAATGTCGACGTTTTCATGCATCCCAAACACCTCTGGATTCTGACTGAATGGAAGTTCCTAGAACACAACAAAAGTATTGCTACTCAGCTGGATGTCTTTATGTAGAAACACAAACAAAAATATACTCTTGAAGTCTTTGTACCTTGATAAACAGAATGTAGTCCTCATAGGATGATTTAGGTGGAGCATAATATTCACCATTAGGTGAGAAAGGGTAATGACATCTCACTATGACGTTCTTGTTGTAGAAGTCGGCCAAGATTGTCATTAGCAGCCGCCTATCCCAATCATCTGTTACACGGCCACCATAGTTACACTCCCCGGTCAGATAAGTTATGGCCTCCAAGGGCACCTCATCATATTCATTCACAAATAACTGAAGAGGAAAAGAAATCATAAGTATTTTTAGACTTTTATGATGGTAGAAACTCAACAACTGAGACTCTGAATAAATACCTGTAGCTGTCTGATGCTTATACGGAGGTCAGAGTCATTGAAGCCATAGGGAATATTCCAACCCAGTGGACCAAACTTTTTCCTCTCCTGAACAAGAGCATGGAAGAAGCACAATCCATAGAGGAGTTTCTCCCAAACCTAGCGACAGAAATCCAACATTCAGAGAACATCCTTTGTGTGACAGACCTATTAAATTAATATGTGTACTCCCATTGCACGCAAAATGAAGACACATTTCTTTCCAACTCACCATCTCCTTATTGGGACAGTTATTGAAGAAGTTTGGATCAGAAACAGGATCTGACAAGTAAGACTGTAACAGGTTCAGTCGAAGTCCTGTCGGGGGCTCATTTGTCATTTTCACCCCATTCTGCAGGATGGTCACTGGAAACTGATTTCAAAAAGGTGTTTTTTTCTTATACTGTATAGACTGTAATCATCTAGAATCTGTATTTTACTTTTTAACTGCTTAAAGCTTCTTTGTTTATGCTTATGTACTGACTGAAATGTATTGTTCTGTACCTTGGATGAAGGGTAGCTAGTGAGCCAGAGGCGGAAGTCTTGGTGGCATGTTACCAGACTGAAGTCCTCACAGATTTTCTCGAGGGTTGACATCCAGGAAACAGCGAGATGACAATTCTGCAAACACACCCATGTTCCATCCTCCATGGCTGTGGATATCATTTTAGCAGCGATGGGCCCCTGGCCCTGACCCAGAGAGATAGACTGGAACTTTTTATCACCCATGTTCTTGTCACTGGCAAACTTCAGTAAGCCTGTGGAGGGATATTGTTATTTCTATTGATTTTCAGGCCTAGCATTATATGGCCCTTTGACAATTTCCATTGGTAGTGTAGGACTTACTAGCCATGGGATCAGCTCCTGGAGACAGCACAAACACAAGTGGGGTGGTGGAGTTGGAGTCCAGATAACTTTTGCTCAGGTCAAAGGGAGGGGGCTGGACGAATCTCTTCCCCAAATTTCCGGTCACATATTTAGTGATAGCTGGGGCTATCTTATCAGGCCGCAGACAGCGAACAATGATCATCTTTTGCAGGTCATTCAGTTTTTCACACCACGGTGCAGGCAGAGCAACGTTGCACGGCTCTTTGCTGTCATAAATTGGCTTGAAGTCTCCTGGACTCTTGATGAAAGCCTCTCTGTGGAATAAATAACAATTCAATCCATTAGTCAAAATAAAATTATAATGATTACCAGGAGGGTAGGAGAAACTAGATAAAAGTAATAAAAACATTTTTTTAAATGAATTATTAATGCTTTTTACTTTATTCCTTGTAAGCCATGCAGTTCACTGGCTCTGCAGATTTCATCCCAGCTCTTGTCCTGTAGCCAGCTGGGGTCAGGGTTAGCAATGGTGTTCTGCAGGCCCACTCCCCCAGTCAGCAAGAACATGAAATCAGAGTATTCTATCCCCTCCTTTGCTCTGAGAAGAAATATCAATAGAAAATTGCGTAAACTACATATTAAAAAAACATATTTTCATTTGAGCATGTGGATAAAGAGAAAAATTACTTGCATCTTTAACACTTACAGGAGTAGATTGCAGCAAAGAAGGAAGGAGAAGAGAAGTTTGTCCTTCTCAAACAGAGAACGACAGACGTTGCAGTACAGGTTATAGGTGAAATGATCAATTAGGAATTGAAGCCTCCTCTCCAGATTTTTGGATTTGTTACTGGTGAATAAAAGGAAAAATACAAAGGGCTTCACATGAACACAGACCAATTAAAAGTTCATTATCCTATAGTTAAAGTGCATGCCATAGCTGAATCTCTGACACTATTGTGACTGAATCAAATGTGTTTATGTTATCAGTACAATAAAACATATTCATAATGTCTACAAGTACTATTTTTAACATAAAATTATTGCTTTAAACTGCTATTACAATCATAAGGTCTTGTATCAGTCTATTACTTCTTTTGGGACAGTGCAGAATACACTCCATGTTTATTACTTACCTGTTTTGTATAGAGTTAATGTAGAGGTTAACAAACCAGCTGAGAGAGTACTGGTACATTGGGTCTATGTTGGTCAGGTCAGCAATACTGAAGAATAGGATGGATGAGTGTTTGGCAATAGCTCTGTAACCCTCTCTGGACTCTGCTATCTTGATCTCTGTCTTCTCTGCGATCTTGGAAATTTTAAAACAGTAGAAGGTTAGACTACAAAATATTCGACTTCTCAAATATACAACAAAGGTCTAATTTTTTAATGTATAGTTCAGACCTGCTGTTTCTTTGTAATCTCATTAGACATGATCTTTGCTGAGTCTAGAATCTGAATGGCACTTTCATCCTCTAGGATATTCCCCTCAGAGGACTGCAGGGTCTCCAGGATCTTATCTTCAATCTCCTTTAGTTGCCTCTTATTGTCGGCTGACTGCAGGATTAATGCATTTCTGTCCTCTTCCAGTTCTGGCCTGTAAAACACATGATGTAGAAAACAACTGGATGATGGTGCAAGCAAGAAGACCTGTATTTCAAATATTTCAGTGTTATTCCAAAGTGGCCACTTCATGAATACTACCTCTCCTTAGCAACCACAATCCCCAGCAGCTGATCCTCCAAGCCTTCTGGGGTGATCATAAAATTGAGCAGGGACACTTTGGTAGCCAGTTCTGGCAGGTAGTGGGGATTCCTGAGCTTTGTGGTGATGTAGAAACGGAAATCACTGGAGTACTCAATCACACTCTCCCCAAGCCTGATGCAATCCACGCCACCTAGGGGAAACAAAAAATAATAAATAAATTGCAAAGTGAGAATTTTCCCAGTTTTCAAATTCACATGACTCTTTTAGCAGCTGTCTCACATTCTCAGCACCTTGTTTGAAGGTTTGTTTGAGCAGCAATGGTTCCAGAGAAGGATCCAGCTCTTCTCCTACATTTTCCAGCAGCAATGGTGTTCCAAACTGAATACAGTTTTCCAGAGTTCTCATGTAGTCCGCATCTGTTAACTTGATTACACTCAGGTTATCATCTTTCTCTGAATTCTTCACCCACTTGTTGGCTTGACCCTGAGGATCAATCATCAAAGGCCTACAAAAACCAAAACATTAAAGATTAATTACTCCTGTTTCATTATTTTTATCGTATTCTTGATTACATGTAACCAGAAACTATACATTTTTGACAAATATTTAAATAAAAGATTCAACTTTTATTAAAACATTTCAGAAATACTGACTCACCATCTACGAGAATTACTGACGATGACACCATTGTCAATAGAGAAAGAGTCACTGGGAAGGCCTGCGATGTTCCAAGCCCTAATCTTAATAGGATCTCCCAGGGTTTTACTGAGAGAGAAGTCATCTGATGATGGAATGTTCTTAGACTAGAAAGAGTGAGGTGGTTAAGAAGACAGATAATAGGCATTTACATATTTTTAAGTTCAATGAAAGTGAGTACAAAAGGGGAGGAAAGGAAGACTGTTACTTGGCAGAGTTTGGTCCATAACTTGGTGCAGTCTTGTCTGAAGCCAGCAGTGAAAGCCCCCAAATATGCGATGACACCAGCAGAGATAAGAACATCTCCAGTCAAGTTGTCATATGTGTTCTGAAGGTCATCTGCTGCTTTAGACCATCTGAGGGCAGATTTGAATTCAATCACTGATACATATTATTTTTTTCAGTTGTAGAAAATAATAAAGACTATTCATAAGCATCATTGTGACCTGGTCTTTTCTCCACCAAGACCGCCAATGAGTTTTTCTGCCCTCTCCAGCTTCCTGGCACACAAATCCACCTGGATTTCCAACTGGGCCTTCTCCTCTGTTTTCTCCTCAAAAGTTTTCTGGAGGGCAGCCAAGCGGTCTTCAACCTCCTTTAGTTCAGCTCTTTTCAGGTCTAACAGGGCCATGGTAGCAGCTAGGGACTCCTGTGCCTCTGCAAGTTTGGCCTTCTTAGGGGCTACGACCTAAAAAAAAAAAAAAAGAGAGTGGTTGAGAATGAAGAGAAAGCAAGCATGCAGGTATTATTATCAGGACAAGTCATTAGGGAAAGTCTGTAAAAAAAAAAAATCCAGAGAAGTTGCACCTTTGCTACCCTGTCATAAACCTCCATTGCTTTGATCCATTTGCACAGGCCCTCTGCTGCAGAGGAGGCTTTTGCCACAACACTTGGGTCAAAGTCAGGATTAGTCATGTACTGACTACGGATTTTTTGCATCACAGGGACCTGAAATCCAGAGATAGATGAGTTAGTCAAGTGTTTTTAAAATAATAATAATAATAATAATGCAACTTTTCTGACACTCACAGGAATATTGTCTTTGTCATATTCTTTAAGATCTCGTAAAAAGTTCATATCACCCAGTAGCTTCTTGCTTGGACCCCAGTAGTCAAAAACCTAGACAAAAAGACAACATACTGCTCATTCTAATATTAGTATATGTTGTCATAAAGTTGAAATAGAATTGATTTGATGAGCTTATGCCATGCTTTCTAGGGTAATAATAAGACATTTTAAGATATTTTTTGCTCAATCTAACCTTTTTTCCTGTCCCGGCTGGGTCAGCTATCTTATCTGGCTTTATATCCTTCATCACGCACACAGCTGCCATCACCAGCTTCACCCCTGATGGTGGATTTTTCATTGACTTCACAATCGTGACATCAGAGGGCTGAAATAAATCAAACAGCTTACTTAACAGTCTAAACTGAGGCGACCTAAATGGCACAATTTGTTCTAAAAATGCAGTGTAGTTGAAGGGTGCTTGCCTTTAAAGTGTCCAAAGCAGAGAGAGCAGCCTCCAGGGCGGGAATGGCTTCAGCCAAGTCACTCTCACACTCGTTCTTCAGGGCCTGAGCGTCATTTGCTTTTACAGTCGCCGCCTCCTCATCAACGCGCACAATTTTACTCTTGGCTTCCACCTCCACAGACTCTACTTCAATTACCTAAAAAAATTCACAAAATACACATGTACATTAAACATAACTATTTTCGAAATACTGATTATATTGTGCATTTACATATATATACTCTATGATTGAGGTTGGGGCAGAATGAAGATGTGAAATGTATTTTACCTTCATCATTTTGGTGTTGTCTATCTTTGCCTGTTCCAGTTTGGGTTGTAGGTCTACCAGTTCCCTCTTCATCTCACCCACCTACAGAAAGACATTTTTAGAGTAAGTTATTTAAAAAGTTATGCTTCACATGTTTAATCAAAGAAGCAGAGGAAAAGCAAACTCAGTAAATTGGTCTTGCATATACCTGAGATTCAGCGAAGGCTAGTTTATCCAGACCATTGGTATACCTCTGTTTCGCCTTCATGACAGTTTCTCTTTTCTGAGTGAGCAGTAGACGGAAAGCTGCAATCAGCTCCAGGTAGGATGTGGGTGTCACATAATTATGTCGACCTAGCTCAGAGAGGAATCTGCAGCGAAAACAAACAGTATGGGTAAGGGCTTATACATCTACTTTAGCCTTTAATATGGAAGCTATAAATGCCATACCTCTGTGAGAGCTGTTTGACAGACGTATGGAATGTTTTGCAGATGGGTACGACCTCCTGCCTCTCATTTTCACTCATCTCCAGTGACTCCAGGAAGGAGTTGGCTACTCTCTCAAGAGCTTCCTCTGGCCATGGCTGTCAGGGCACAGAGAAGAAAAAGAAAAAGATACTAAGGAAAAACATGCAAATACAGACTGCCTACATATTTAAATATCTCTTTCTGCCCTAAAATGGCATGGATGTACCTTTGATTCGTCCCTGCACCTTACCTTTGTATTTAAATGCAGATATTATACAGTTTAATGCCTTCTAATGATCATATTGTACCTGGTACCAGTCAATGGTACAGCAGTTAATAAGAGATGGAAATTGACGCAGGCGATTTCGAAAGGCGTCTCCAATAGGACTGAAGGCCACAACAATGTGCAGGTTCTCTCTGCAGCGTGCCACGAAGAAGGCAAACAGGGTCAAAGGGCTCAACTCCAAATTCTTATTACCAGCCTGGGCAATGGGACGTAATGACTGGAGAAAAATATATAAAGTGAGAGTTATATTAAAAACAAATTTAAAGGGCATCAATACACGATTTAAATTGTTCTGTAAGGGCTTTCAATAACCTACCTCCATAATCTCTTGTTTCTCATCAATGGCAAACAGATTGGGCACCTCTCCTGTGTTCAAGACACTGTCCACATCTTCTAGAAAAGCCTCATCTTTGATCTGAGCATCTGTTACCAGAAACACTGTCTTCTGTCCTTTCACCCCAGCATTTTTCAGGAGCATCTTAAAATGCAGGGAGACAAAATACTGTGACAATGTGTGCTAAAAATATTTAATAAATGCCACAGAATCTAAGCAGAGACCAAAACAGTATAAAAGAAATACATGTAAGGCATCAGATTAACAGGACACAGAATGCTTTTCTAATCTATAAAGCAAACCTTGAGGTCATCTCTCCACTCAGTCATGCCGTAGCTCTTAGAGATCTCAGGCTGGAACATGGTCATGTGGGCCATAGATGTGGCCAGGCGGGTGATGGACTGGCGTCCACTGCCTCCCACTCCCACTAGCAAGGCATTGCCTCCCGGCTGCTTTAACACTCGGCTGATACGGGACAAGTGCTCCAAGACATAGCTACATAACACAAGGTATTTTTCTGCGTTAATTAAGTTTACATGCAAAGACAGAGTTACAAAAACATAATTTCATTAACTTACTGCAAAAAGATCAAGTCAGCTGCTTGGACATTCACACTCATTACAAGAAAAAGCCCAATAATTTTGTGGGATAACTAGAACAGTTTACCGGAAGATGACGAGGTTCATTCGATTTTTGTGCATCTGGTTGTATTCATCAAGACATGACTCCACCACCTCAGCAAAGGTATCCATTGAGGGTACCTCAGTGTACAAGCGCTCATCATCCTCGAGCTCAGGGTTCATGTAGTCACCAAACAGAAGATTTCGCATGTCTTCTTCAACAAGCTGAAAATGGAAGAATATTCATGGCACAAATTGATACACGTACATTTTTGTTTTGTTTACTATGCTAGTAAAAAAAAACAAACAAACAAATATTTAACATATTCAAATAATATTTAGATCTCAGACTGCAAGAAGGTGTTCAAAATCAGCACTGTCTTGTTGCATCTACTGTTTAATATAACAATTATAAAGCATATGACACTACAGTAAGGATAACTGAATCTCCACTTACCTTACTGCCTTGTTTCAGGTGATCAAAGACCTGGTCAAAGGACTCTCTGAAGTGATCTTTGAGGATGCTGTTCATCAGCTTGTAGAGCCATGCTCGATCTTTGTCATCCACCAGACGGTCATAGTAGACACGGAAGACCTCGTGGACAAACAGCCGTATCATAGTGCGTTTATTTTCCAGAGACTCCTTCTTCAGCAGCAGGCACCCTTGGATAACACGTGAGAAGTCCCGTAGGTTGAAGGTGTAGTGAGACTTGGCCGGAGTTGGAAGCAGGTTCTCCATTGCTTTCTTATACACCTTTGGAAAATAAAAGTATATCATAAATATATTAGGAAAGAATTCAAGTACTTGAGACAACAACTGAAGATTTAAATGAGCAATACACAAGTGGAAAATACATTTATCCTGCCTATTTGAACATGTCATGTGACATCATTGCGTCTTCAGGGAACTTACTTCCATTGTAGCTGTCACTATTTGGTTGCCAACAGTGAAAAATGCAGGTGGGAATTCTTTGTTTTTGAGATAGAAGGCCATAATGTTGGAGAAAATGCAAACCATAGTGTCATCACTGAAGGCATTAATGCTAAAAATGTTAAAATGTCGCAAGAAGCGAGATGTCACAGCATTCCTTCCGCCACCAGGGGGCCCCATAGCTGAAATGAGCTGCAGATCAACCAGGGTGATCCTGGAGGTGTCCTTCAGGTCATACCTGCCAGAGCATAACAGAAGAGGTCTGCATGTTTAATGAATTCAGTCTGGTTTATTCATTATGCCCCTCTTGTTTGAACATGAAGTTGGTGTCTGACAGTGGCTCGTTCGTACCAGTTTCCATGGTCCATGTACTGTCGAAGAAGCTCCACAGGGGGCTGTGCTCCAAACTGCTCCAGTGCAGGCATGTTCATGTCATCTACAAAGATGACACACTTTTTTCCTATGGGCGGTCCAAACACCCCCTTCTTTCTCTTGTCTAACCTGGACATGATGATATTCTGGAAGATGTAAGAAAGACATAATAAATGATAGAAACTGAAAACAATAATCCTTTCTTGTTTGTTTTGATAATCACTCCGTCATTACATTCAAACCTGTTCATCATGGATATTTTGTACATTTAATGAACCTTTTTCTACATATACAAGAATCTGTCAAGAAAAAAAAAAAAACCGGGCAAAAGCAAGAACAACCTCAAAAACAATCCTTTTAATATCCACATTTTCTACTCATGAAAGAACCTTTGCAATATCAGTGCTTCTCTACATATAGAATAATCTTGTGCAATATCATTATTTTCCACATTCAGAGGAATCCGTGCAATATCTGAATTTCTATATAAGGAAGAATCTCTGCAATATTAACATTACTTCTGTATATTCATGTTCATTTTAGAATTTTCCTACTGATGTCCCTACATTATTGCACCATCCCCTTTGCTGCTGTAACACTGCAAGTTTCCCCCGCTGTGCGTTTAACATAGGCTTTTCTTATCATATTTATGTCACATCATAATATTTATAACAAAACAAGTAGTCTGTCCATCTATATGCCTTCTTAGTAAACCAAACATTTCTTCAGGGATAAACTTCAACCATGTTTTACAAAATGCTCACTTGGGTTTGGTTTGCACTAGTGCGGGCTGAAAAGTTGATAAAGAAGGGTAGGTAGCAATCTTTGTCCAGATTGTTCATCAGTTTCTCCTTCACGTAGAGTGACTTCCCAGTGCCAGTAGGACCAACAAACAGGGAAGGGCTGAAAAGCAATATAAAACATATTTTTAAAAAGAATATTTTTTGATAACAAAATAAATAAATGCAGGTTAAACACTATGAACATAAAAATAGGATATATGACACATGTAGAATGATTATTAATGGCAATAATTTATGTTTGACATTCACGTTCATCAATACTAACACTCCATAGCTGATGCAGAGGTCCATCAAGTAGGTATAGCGAACTGTGTCAATGGTAGGTACAATGATCTCTTGCACTTTGGTGTTTTTGTCCCCCAGGTTGACATTTTTAATGGCATCATTCCAGTGAATCCATTTGCCTTTTCCTTTGAACTGTAGAAGAGATTCTAACATGATTTACTGATTTAACGCAAGTGAAATTCTTGTAGGTAATATAATTACGCAATACCTCGTAAAAATAGTCATACACCAAGCCTTTATCATCCATTGGACACTCCCATTTTCCCACTGTTTCAGGGATCAGATATTCTGTTGTTTTTCCTGAAACAGTCACCCTGAAGAACTCACTGAACTTCTCTCTGCTGTCTGCGTCACAGCTGCCACCCACAGACCACACCAGGGAGAAAGCAAAGGCTGCCTGCAAGAAGAAAGAGAAGTGTCATACAATTTGACTGAAATAGAATGTGCAAATACAAAAACACTTGCATGGAGGTGCAATGCTTGTAACGTGCACATCTAAAGTAAGAATCAATATGTTAAAAATATTATTTAAAATGATGAAAGATTTGGTTCTTTTACCATGATCCAGGTGCGAATGTTTTTATCCCCACGTTCTGTCTTCACAGGTTCAGTGAGAAGCATTTCAAACAGTCGACACAAGGACACTACAGTGTTACTGTCACTCGTAGACACAACTTCCTGTAAACAACACAATAGTCTAGCATGACAAAACGCCTTCATCGTCTTCAGATGTTTGAGTCTAGATCTGGGGATGGAGCCACTCACTCTGCAGTGTTTACGCAGCGTCTTAAGGGCAGGTGGCACGAGCCAGTGGAAGAGCTCCAGCAGCAGGGAGCGACTGTCAGGGGTCTGCAGAGCATCAGGAAGAGTGTTCATCCAGGAGATCACCAAGGGATTCCAGCCCAGCTGAGACGGTTCCATGTAGATCATACCACATCGACTCACTGTGGCAGGCTGCAGAAAGAGAAAGTAACTAATGTTATCCAAATAACCTGACCAAGACAGTTTATTAACATCCAGTTACATCCTGGCTATAAAGTTACAGTACGTACACTAGCTGAGTGAATGTTATCAAACATCCTGGTGAATTATTACAGTTTACCTAATGCAAAATAGTAACTATTTAGAGAATGAACTAGTAAGTGGGACATTTTTAAATATCAAACATAATGATTTAATTAAGCAAACACCCAACTTACAGAGGCTTGTGATAGGTCCATTGCTTCAAAAATCAGACTCATCTGACTGGACATCTGAATGATCTCACCACTCATCAGGCACAACTGTGGAGGAAGAGTAAAACAAAAATGACCTAACTCAAGCATGTTAAAAACTAAAAAAGAAAAATATCCAACACTTTACTGTGTATTGTGTACCTTTTTGTTGTCATCTAGCACAGTGTTCATACTTTCAATCCATAGTGTATCTATTGGACCATCAAATACCACCCATTTACGGTCCGGTGTGTCAGCTGATGCAAACTCACGAAATGTGTTGGCAACAATCCCATCAGTCCACTAATAACAAGGGAAAACAAAATGAGGGAAAAATTAAAGGGGGGATGCCTTCCTGTTGTCCCAGGTATACATTAATACTGTAAATACACAGATTTTGTATGTATCTATAATACAGAAGATTCAAAATACCTCATGGGAAACTAGGTCAAACTGTCCAAAAAGTTGTCCCATTGTTATTGACTTTGGGTTCAATGTCCTAAAGATGACCTTCTCCTCCAGACCGTCCCCTCTTTTGTTCATATAGTTCAGAGCATCGGCTAGAACGTGCAGCACTTTTGTTTTCCCAGCAAAAGGCTCTCCCACCAGCATGAACCTAAAAGAGAGCATAATGATGCAATATTGTGTTGTACACATTCACTTTAAGCCATGTCCTAATCAAGTGGAAAACACGTCAAGCAAGATACCAGAACATGGCAACACAGATACCAAAATATAACATACCCATGCCTGACTATCATCATCTCATATGTCTGGATCATCTTTTGTAAGAAGACCTCTGTCGGCTGTACATTGTGGTTTTTACAGCACTCTTCAGCAGCCTCTTGAAACAGCTGACAATGATAAGAAAAAAAGATTTGTCAAAGATACTGCATATAAAAGTAAGGGTATTGTTAGATTTAGAGCAAACGCATGAGTAATGGCATCAGCATATCTGACCTGATAGTCAGCCTGTGGAAGAGAGATGCCTGGGAACAAATCGCTGGTGATTCCATTGAACAGTGGAATATCATGGGAGAGAAACTTGGGCTCATTAACATCTTTTATAGATCTCAGGAGCTGGATGTTTCAACATGAGGAAAGGGGTGAAAGGGCAAAACACAGCAAATCAATTGAAAATTCAGTTCACAATCAGAAAATAGCATTTGGAATAAATGTTTAGCAAATTCATTCATTTCAGCACAAATACCAGAATGTCCTCATTCTCATCTGGATACTTGAGTTTGAGGTTTCCTGCAGCCACAAGCACTGCTTTGACAGCCCTCATGCCATAATCATAATGGAACTGAGAAGAGAGCTGCTCTGAACAAAGCCTGTAGGTCATCACTATCTTCACTGAGAGCGGTTTGGCATTGAGAAAGCCGTATGAATACAAAGAGATCTCTGCTATCAGTGCGTAGTTGGGGACCATCATGGCCACTGTTCGGAACAACACCTGCACAAGGGAAAGAGGAAGAATATTCAGAATTTCCAATGTTAGACTGTGACATTTCTATTATGCCACATTACATTAAAGGGATTTTCAGGGCATTGCAGTGTGTAATATGATATTGAAAAATGAACTAAAATGATTTGAAAAAAATCTCAATAGCACACATAATGTTGTACACTCTGAAACTGTCTGATAACACATTTTACTGGTAAAAGACCTTGAGGTTGTCTGGGAGTTCTGAGCGTCCTGCATAGCCAGGGTTCATTGTTATGGACACAAAGCAGTTGGGATTGAGTTTGAGCATGGTTCCTTCAAAGTCAAAGTACTCCAGCTTCTGCTCGATGGCTCTCTGGATGCAGAGAACTTGCTGAGCCACTACAGATAGCACCTCCAGCTCAATACGGTTGAATTCATCAAAGCATGCCCACGCACCAGACGAAGCTAGACCTTTAAAAAACTGTGAGAGATTGATCCAAAGTACATGTTAACAACATATAACATGTATAAATACATATAGCATTAGAATTTATAATAGAATTTTCAAATTTCTAGTAGATGTTACTTTTCCCATAGCAAGATAGTCCAGTCCATCTGAACAGTTAAAGACCACACACTGTACAGCAAGAGCTTTCGCTAGATCCTTGGTGGTTTCAGTTTTCCCTGTTCCAGCCGGACCCTCAGGTGCACCGCCCAAATTCAAGTAGAAAGCTCCGATCTAAAACAAAAAGGGGGACTTTGGAATTTAATGAGAAAATATTTGACCACTTAGTATTATTATTATTAGAAAGTGACAAGTACTTATATTGAAATAGACTTTAGAAAGGGTATTTGTGAGTTTTGTTGTTGTTTTTTTTTTTTTTTACCAGGGTTCGATAGCATCTGTCAGTCAGAGGAGTGATGACCAGACGTGGAGAGTTCCCCAGGTACTCATAAGCGTACTTAACATCACAGTTGATTATGCGAACACGAACATTGTCATTGCTCCAGTAGTAACGTAGCTGGGCTAGCCACTGGAAGTCAGTTTCATGTGACACACCTATTAAAAATGGACAACATTGCAGTCGTTTTATCTTGGTGCTGTTTGTGGATGTTGCTCTGAATGCAGTCCAATGCTTTGTGACAGTAATGAAATAGTTTTGTGCTTTGAGGTACCTTTCTCGATAAGCTCCATGACTACATCCCTGGCATGGACATCGATTGTGACAAGTGCTCCCAAAGTAGTCCGCGTTTGCTTCGGCAGTTTTCCTCTCACCAGCTCCACAATGTCGTTCAGCTGACTCTGGAGTTGCTGATAGTAGTTCTTTAAACCCTTTAAAGAACAAAAAACTACTATTTGAGTTTATTCCTAAGGTGATAGTGGTATAATGTCACATTCATCAAAAAAAATAAAAAATGATTCAGGTCACCTGGTCAAGAGTGAGAAATGTTAAGACTTTGTATGACTACAAGATTAAAAATCATAAATGTGAGTTTTATTCTACTTTATTATTATTATTATTATTATTGGTAAATTATACTTTAATTCCAATTACCAACGTTAATTTAGCAAAACACTATACATCACTTTCATGGATTTTACTGTAGGTATTTGAAAAGAAAAACTAATTGGAACATTTTTAGAGAAAAATGTGTAAAGACCCACATCCGCCCCTGTTCTGATGGCCTCATGAACCTCCAAAGTCCAGAAAATCTGTGAGGTGCAGAGCACAACCTGCCCAGGCCACTCCTTGACCCACTGGTTCCGTGCAGTCTGAGCGTAGGCCTGTCCACACAACCACACACAATTGCACGGCTTTCATCAACTTGCTTTTATAGTCACATATCCGAAACATTATATTGTACAAATGCGTATTATCAATCCTGCACAACACGATGGCATTGGAGCATAGTATGTGTATTGTCTGAAGTATGAGGAGCAGTGATCTCACCACCCTGGACCGGGCGACTACATCTCTGACACTGCGAAGCATCACATCCTCCACCTGAACCAGCCACTTCTCCACAGCTCCTTTGGCTTCAGAAGTAGAGATGTGCTGGATTAGCGGAACACGCTCTCCTTCACTGCTATACATGGCCTAGGCAAGAACAATGTGCAGTTTAATACCACTTAATCAATACACAATGTCATTTCGCAATAGCAATATGTGTCACTGTCTTGCCTGTATATCCAGATTGGGTAGAAAGTCCAATTTAGAAATACCCTCAAAGCATTTCTTTAGATGAGGCTGCACTCGCAGTGGGTCCTTGGTCTCGGACAGAATCTCCAACATTTCATCATTGGACAAGAAGAAGAACCTGGAAGCAGCGTTAATAGCAAATATCAAAAACTGTGATTTTCACAAAGGATTGGACCAAAAAAATTTGCTAAATCTTTGTGTTTACCGAGGAAAAAAGAGACGTTTCTTCTCCAGATAGGCATTCAAACCCTTCATAATGTTATCAAGGAGGGTATTGGAATCTTGCAGTTTCTCTAGCAAACCAGGTAGTGAGGTTGCTGGCAGAACCTATGGTTACAAATCATAAGGTAACTCAGATGATAAATGTTTCAGATTCTCTTTATTGCAAACTTCTTCTTTTTTTTTTGTTACCTTAGGATCTTTAACACAGTGTTTCATGACCTCTCTCCAGTTTCTGTCAACAGTTTGGAAAAGTCGTCCCTCTTCTGGAATCTGCTGCATAATGTCCTGAGACGAGAAGATGGGCTCCAGGTAAAGCCACTGGGCCTGTACCTTCAGCCACTCATCTATGGTATCCTGGATACGAAGCAGACGCTCCTCCCATGACTGAGATCATAGAACAAACAATTAAAACTTTGCAGAACTGAAATATAGCCAGTTAAAAGGAGTTTTAAAAAATACTCCTAAGTGGGAAATTCCAATACAAGTTAAGCATTTAGTCATGATAAAGATTAACTCTTTAAAACCTTAAGCTCACCTTGATTTCTTTTTCAAAGGGTTTAATGAATGGCGAGCCTCTTATAGTCTGAGTCTTCACAATCTGGTCATTTAGCATCGTCTGAATATCGTCCAAGGCAGTCAAGATGGACACACCAGTCTCCCTGTAAAGTTGATGGTGGAAGGACGCATCATCCCAAACATGCACCATGGTTTGCATCGCTTTTTCCAGGGAAAACTCCTGTTGAGAAAGATAGTATGGGCACAGAGGAATCAACACACATATTTACAACATGTATAAACAAACTTCAGGAGTTCTTACTTTGCTAGCAGCAGCACTGATGGACTCAAACTCTTCCAGGTAAGGAGCCAGATTTTGTTTGAGAACTTTCTGTAGTGTTGTACCAGATTCAGGATTGAGGTTATACCCAACTATCGCTGACATCTGGTCCCAGTGGCGAGCTCTAATGCCTGGGTTACACAGGATCGACACTAGAGGGATATGCTCCTGTTGGCACAACCACATTCCACATAATGGTTTAGCGTCAACAGTCTTCATTTCACTTGCAGTAAGACTTCATTCATTAATCTCCCTTAAATGACAGTTGCATGCAATACCTTGAACTCATTGATCTGCTCCATTATGGTGGAACACAGAGTTATTGTGGGGCTCTCCTGCTTCCTCGGATCATCCTCACTCGGTCGTCTCTTAGTCCTCCCAGAAATCTTCTCCATCTCTTGCGCGGCCTTATTCTGTTTCTGTTGGAAAAACTTAACCATCTTGAAAATCTCCCGAAAAAATTCATCTACTTTTACCTCCATGCTCTCGCCATCTAGGTCCTGGAATGGACCAATCATCCATCTGTTCACCCAGAAAATGATAAGTTGTCAGTGATTTTTTTTTTTTATTATGTACTGTATATACAATATTCATCAAATACAAATCTGACCTGTTCTCTGTGTGCTGCCACTTCAGGACAAATCCAAACAGCTTCTGGTATGGTTCAATACCCTCCTTGATGACGTTAACTTCTGGGTAACTTGTTAGGTCCAATTTGTAAAAGGCTTCCTCTTTGTTAATAAGGACAATATATTCTTCCGCCTCCTGGAGAAGTTTCTGAACTGATCTGACATCTGCAACATACTGTCCAAAAAGCAGTAACAGTTACATCTTTGGTGCAATTTAAACATTTCATCTGCTTCCCTGGCAGTATGTTTATCATATATTTACAGATGTGAGAGTGGGATCAATTGTTTCATTTAATGCTAAGCGAGAAAAGAAATACATTTTTCAAAGGTATGAAACTATTCCTTAAAGACAATCTGAAAGTGGTACTACCTGCTGCATCATATCCAGCTCAGAGCAGTGTGGGAACTCTTCTATCCTGCGCCCCAACTTTTCCAGCTGCACTATTAGTTGTTCTCTCTTAGCAATCAGCTCTTGCTCCCCTTTCTTCTTGGCCTTCTGCATCACCTGGAAATCAGCACAACTGTCCATAATCTGATTTTCATTTAAAAAAATTTTTTTTAAAAACAACAACCATGACAAACTGCTTGGAGCAGATGCAGGAGTACTACCTCATCATTGGCTTCAAATACATGAAGGATGTTTTTTGGCCAGAGAAAAACTGTTGAATTAAGCTCCAGATCTTCAGGCCCAATGATATGGGCAGTCAGGAGATAGCTAAGTCTGCAGTGGGCTTCCTGTTAGAATACAATGCCATTCCCAGTTAAGTCTATATTGATAATTGAAATCAAGACAATCCAAGGCACAACAGTTAGAGCCAATCATCAGAATATTCACCATTATTTTTTCTTGAAGTTCTGTAGTCCCCTTTGTCTTAGTAAAGTTGATGTATTCATCCATCTCAGCCATTTCTTCTGTATTCTCTGGGACTTTCAGAGCTTTCTCTCTGATGGTTTCAAAGTCATTGCAGATCCTTTGCACCGGCACAGAAAAGAAAACATCAAATATTTATCAAAATGTGAGCATTTTACACACAGACGGAGACCTTTGTTTAAGAATGTTACAAAACATGACTTACTGTAGATTTTGCTCACGGTGGCTGATGACTAGTTTATTCAGAAGCATTTCAGCATAGGTATTGGCTTTGTTGGCTAGCCCTTGTTTCAGCTCTTCACAGTCCAGATGGACCATTGTGAAGCGGGCTTTTGACGGGAGACTGATAATCTCCTTTGACAGATCACGAAACTCCTCCACTTGCTTTAAAAAGCAGTGAGATCACACATTGATTATTTACACATTGACTTTAATTGGTATTAAAGTAAAACAAGGCAAGAGTATGTATGTAACATATGCAGTATGAATTCAACTTTAGGTTCTGTTACCTTAGTGTACTCATCAAAAGAGTGTTCCTCCTCCATAAACTTCTCTACCTGACCCTGTGCAGTTCCATTGACTAGCCAGTCATAGCTCTCAACTACAAAATAAACAACAAAAGTCAACAACTGACTGAATTGTTATCATCACTGAAGTAATGATATGAAGTGACTGGATTGCGGAACATCACCATAGCTCTGAAAATGTTTGTCCGGTTCCTCTAGATTTTTGCGCACAGCATCTCTCACAGTAATGTGTGACTGAGAGAGGATGTGATCAGCCACCTTGGCATCCACAAATGAAGATGTGGTTTGTGCCAACCAAGACTGGACAGTCTGTACCTTCTGTGGATCAATACAAAAGATATCAGTAGCAGCTCAAAATACACTTTTACATTAGAAATGTGCCATAAAATAGTAAACTCACCTGTAGTGTATTCGTTATGGCATTAAGAATCTCAAAAACAGCAGATTCCAGATCTTGTAAGGTTGGGTAAATTTCCATCTTTTCATCATCAAATGTCAAAGCCATACGAAAGATTGGCAAGCAGTGATGATTGCTTGGATCAAAGACGCTGGCGAACACTTCCACACTTGTCTGAAGCAGGGATTTCAACTAAAAATATACAGGAGGAAAATGATCTCTTAGTCTAAATATGCATTCAAGTAACGAATGTACAAAGAGCTTAGAATTACACAGGCATGTAAAGTTAAAAAACAGACAAACACACAAACAAACAAAACACAATAAATCCCAAAACAATCCATTTAATCCACTACAACATAACTGTTTGGATAAAGAATTACCTATGGAGATCAAACCTCAGTGCAGGAAATACATGCACTATATAAGATTACAGCGTACAATCTTCATTGACTATTTTACTTTCCTATGCCAGCAGCTATGAAGATATACACCTTGTTCAGTTTAAATTGTCAAGGTTTTGTCTCTTTAATGCTCTTTGATGTATATCTCTGACAACTGGCTTGCTAAAAAAAAAAAAAACACTGTAGGATTGTTTTAGATGTCAGTAACGACTAATTAATTGAAATAACTTTAAATTGTTCATCATGGCACATCTCACCTGATTAGATATTAATGTGGACGCACAGTTGTAGAAGGAATCAAGTTTCTGCTCTTTAACTCCGTTCAGTGTTTCCCTATTTGTTAACAAGTGGATGACTTTGGGAAACCAGGTATTCATAATGCGATCTTCTGCCCTCTTACACTCCACAGCCATTTTGTTCTGAAGGCTCTTACAGTCCACAGGTCCTGACGCTCTGGACCAGCAGAAGCCCAAATTTAATCAAAAAGAAACTTTGTATGAGACAGAAAGTATGTGCCTATTTGTCTACATGTTGTCTTACTTTACCTGAATTCTGACAAATCAACTAGGACCACTGGAGAAAATGTTGTGTAGCCAATATCCAACATAGTTTGCATTACAGGATGAAGAATGTGTAAATGTGTCTTTATGATCCTGCGACTTCTGATGAAGCTTTCTCGCCATGGTGTGGAGAAATCAAGAATTCTGCAAAAGATCAATAATACATTTTACAAATGCACGTTTAAATAGATCAACTCCAATTTGATCATTTAAATTATTTGTGCACATTGGATACTTACTCTGGTTGGGTTGCACTCTGTTTTTCTGAGTTCAGTCCTGCTGTCTGTCGATTCTTTAATACTGTGCCTGCTAAAGGGAGTGAATATGGCATAATGAGATACAGTTATATGTGATTTAAATATAGTACTTATATAGTAGCATAACATAGTATCGTACAGTCACACAATGTCATCAGGGAGATGTCTGATCTGTCCTAAATTCATTCTTTAGCATAAAAGACCCGAAACATACAGAGTCATAAAGAACTATGTGCTGTAAAAAACATCAAGTCAGTCTGGGATTACAAAGAGACAAAGACACAGCAAAAATTTACCAAAGCACTGAGGAAAGTTCAATAAGATGATTGAAAAACTGGGCAACAAGTAGGAGAATGTGTGCAGTTTGGAATGTAAAGAGTGGTCTCACTAAACATTGATTTGATTTATTCTGTTTACAAAACTTTGTATTAAGTCCACTGGTAAATAAAATCTATTCAAATTCTATTGAAAGCATCTCCAGTTCACTTTAGTGGTTAAAACCTTTGCATAGCACTGACATTCTTACAATACAAAAAACTGGAAATACCTCCGTGTTTGACCATCACACTGCAGAACTCCTCACTGACTTCCATGCACAGCTCCTGTAGTAGCTGATTTGTCTCAGGGCTCTTTATGAGTTTAGGTGGAACTCGGGCAACAATCGAATCCAACCAGTCCTGCTGGATTGGAGCAAATGGGCGACTCTCTACACACTGTTTTAGGAACATGTAGTTCATCTGCAAATGGTGCAAAAATAAAATAAGAGACGTGTAACAAATAGAAAAGTAGGATCTCTTCATGTCTCAAATTAAATACTTAAAAGCAAACATACCGTTCTTTTCCGCTCCTCACTAAGCATCTGCAAAGTAAATATTGAAATAAATGCTATCATATTGTGCCAAAGTTCTATATTACTATTTGTATTCAAAATATGTGCATAGAGAGATAGATAGATGTCATACAGAAGCTGGAAACTGTGGCTCTGGTGACAGGCTGCGCACTACTCTCCTCTCTTTGCTGTGTCCGTAATCTTCCATTACTCTGGACACCCTGTAATAAATCAGTCAACAAACTGTCACAGTGTAAGAAATGCTAAACAATGATTAACTGCCTAAGTAGAGGCCATTCTTGTACAGTTTTAGGAGCTATCATTAAGGTGCTGAAAGAAAAAGATGACGGGAAAACATACATTATTTGAAGTTGCTTTTGTTGCTCGTTTTTCTTCCTGTGCCTCAGCAGCTTCTTCTGAGTCGCTATCTTCTTCACTATCTCCTCCTTTGCTGCAATGGCATGTTCGACATCACCCAACTGCTGCCTCCCTTCAATTGGGGGCAGGACGGGAAACTTCGGGAGGTCCTGCACCGGTGTGGCTTTGAAAACTTCTGGAGGGGTAGCCATGGCTGGCAGCTAGCCACTAAAAAGAGGTCAGAAAAAAAAGAAGAAAACTTAAAAACAAAGTAACAGCCTTTGCAAGCTAGCTAACACAAGGCTAAACTCTAATTAAGGTAGTTATCTTGCTTCATTTGAGCCTGAATAAGCTAACGTTATACTGCAGTCGTTGTCAAAAGATAAACTGACACTAGTTTACCTGTTTTGTCATCCAGAATCTTTACTCTTTGGTTAGCTGCTTTATTGCTACCGTAAACATCTAAACTTTAGCCGAAGGAAGTTAGCAGCGTCGTTACCAAGGCAACAGTAAACATGGTAGCAACAGAAGGAGGCGGGGCTTGTCATGTTACGATTGCTAATATCTGCAAACTGAACTTTATTTTGAAAACGCGAAGACATGAAAGACACGAGAAATGCTCTTACCAATATATATAAATTCTGTAAAAATATAATGTAGAAAAGAAAAACAGTTTTCTCCTAAATTATCAAATGTATTCATATTTTTTCTACGTGTTATTTGTGATATACATCTGTAAAACATAAATTTGATATTTATATGTAAAATATATAAAATGAGAAAGTGTACTAAATTTACAACAAAAGTTTGCTACTGCACTTGTGCATTTAAACACACTTAAGAGCCGAACAACAATGCTGCCAGAGGTACGTATGACCACACAAAAAAAGTCAAGTGCTGTTAAAATTTTCAGATTCCAAAAAACACCAGCTGTTAGAATATTTGTCTTATCCCCTTAAACTGCTCAAATAATCTAAAACATATAAGAATGTCCCTATTTCTAAACGTCCAGGGCGCGTATGGTCAGTTCTGAGTCATGCTATGCTTTAAAGTTACAGTAGGGGGCAGCAGTCTGTAGGCAGAGTGGAGTTTAAGGTACCAGAAAAAAAAAAAGAGAAGAAGAAGAAGAAGAAGCGGCTCACCCTCCGTTAGCTAGCTAGCTACTGCTGGGAAGTAGCGACAAAATCTTCAGGTATTGTAAACAAAGCAGCCACTATGGTGTTATATAGCAATAGATGCCTAGCAGTAATTGAAAAGAAAATTGAATTCGACTCGTTGCGGATGTATGTATTCGAAATTAATGAATCGTCAAGCAGAAGTAATCGGCTTCAATGTTGTGGTTTTCGTCGAAGGCCTGAACTATTGTTACTTAGAATTTCCGGTGCCATGTTGTTGTGAAACTGAAGAGCTAACTGTTAACTACACAAACCGTCAACGTTATATTGTCATTCACGAATTTAGTATTCTCCGTGTCTGAAATATCATCCTCCGAAGGCTCCACATAACACTTCTTCTGTACTCTTCCAGGATATTCTCATAATGAGTTATGCAGAGAAGCCAGAGGACATAACACGGGAAGAGTGGATGGATAAACTCAACAATGTCCACATTCAGAGAGCTGATATGAACAGGCTCATTATGAATTATCTGGTGACAGGTAAAGTATCTGTTTTTATTTTTTATTTTTTTGTCACTCAGCGTTTGTTGTTAGATGTCTATAAAGATCAAATGTGCATGTAAGTGTGGTGTTTCAATGTGCAGGATTTCACCACGTTTTGTTTTCAACAGAGGGTTTTAAGGAGGCAGCAGAGAAATTCAGGATGGAGTCTGGAATAGAACCAAGTGTGGACTTGGATTCCCTAGATGAAAGAATTAAGATCAGAGAGATGATCTTAAAGGGACAGATCCAGGATGCTATTGCGCTTATCAACAGTCTGCACCCAGAACTGCTGGATACAAACCGTTACCTCTACTTTCACCTACAGGTAAACTAAAACACCGCAAACATCTCAGCGTTGTATTTTCGGAAATACGACGTTGAAATGCCATGTCATACTGTTATTTTCACTGCTGGTTGCACCAATGGCTGCTTGTTCTTGTTTTTGTTCTTTGCAGCAGCAGCATCTTATTGAGTTGATCCGTTTGAGGGAGACTGAAGCTGCCCTTGAATTTGCCCAGTCCCAGTTAGCGGAGCAGGGGGAAGAGAGCCGAGAATGTCTGACTGAGATGGAGAGGACGCTGGCACTGCTGGCGTTTGACAACCCCGAAGACTCACCTTTTGGAGATTTGCTTAATATGATGCAGAGGCAAAAGGTATAGAGTCAAAGCATATTAAAATTTACATGTGTCCTCTTTGCACTTAGCACTTTTGAGTTATATCATACTAAGATCACAAATGGAATGCATTATTTTAAAATGATGGGCTTTTGTGTTATGTTATGATTTGAGCCTTATCTCTGTTTTGTTTTTTTCTGCTGCACTCAGGTCTTTTTTGCATTAGAGATCATGGGGCTCATAAGAAAACCTGATTCAATAATAGTTATAACAACATAAGAATAACAAACTACATGTCGCCTACAGTTCATGTTTCCTTCACTGTCGGTGCTGCAGTTTTGACCCATTTTCATTTGAAACTGAGTTTAAAAAGTTTCAAATTGATTACATCATTCTTTGATTACTTGTTTGTTTGTTTAGGGGCAAGGTGTCTCTTTAAACACACACTGCCAGTTTGGCACATGACAAGCAGTTAACTTATCACAAGGAGTACTACTCAGCTTGTAAAGCAGTTGTATCAAGTCCATAGCCTGAGATAATTACAGTAGTATCAGATTTGTTTGAAGAAAAGCATCAGCATGTTTGTGTCTTTGTCTTTCAGGTGTGGAGTGAAGTGAATCAGTGTGTGCTAGACTATGAAAACAGAGAGTCAACACCCAAGCTGGCCAAGCTCCTGAAGCTTCTGCTGTGGGCTCAAAATGAACTTGACCAAAAGAAAGTGAAGTATCCCAAAATGACTGACCTCAGCAAGGGAACAATTGAAGACCCTAAATAAGGACCCAGAGTGAAAAAGTATTACAACATTACAAAATGGACACGTTTCGTTTATACCCTATTTATACCCCCCAACAAACTGACTCATATAGAGTACAACCTTTTCTTTTTTTGTAAGGGTTGCTTTTTGATACTTTATTAACTCAGTATGTGCACAACACTCGATTGATGGCATTTTAAAATGACTTCTCAAACTAAATTAACAAGCAGACCATTGTTTCATCCGGTATTTTAATTTACATATTTGTTTACGTAAAATGAGTATGTTTCAGTTACACTAGTTTTTCTGTCTGTTGGCAGGGAAAGTTGTTGGCATAGGAGAATGTGAATAAAGCCTAAATTAGGCTGTTTCTGTGTGTGACCACTTCGAGGGAGCAAAGTTTGCTGTTCAGGGCAAATGGTTGGCTCAGAGGGCACTGCTTCAAATAAAATGTTTCTTCCTTACAAAAACATCCACATTTCAGCTAGTACTCTTATGTGGTGGCAATAGCCAGCAAAAGATACTTGGGGTATTTCAAGCTACTGTGACTTTGAAAGTTAATTTCAACTTTAGATTCATACTGCATTATTGCTTGGGATGTTATCAAAACCTGCTGACAGAGACGAGAGCAAAGGTGAACTTCAAACCGTACGTTATTGTAGCATTTGGGGTGGAAAAGTGAGATTACTGGAATGCTATAAACTTTGCAGCCTACTGTGACTGTGCAAGCTCAAAGATAGCCTCAGTTTCATAGTGTTTTAAAATATTGCAGATCATGTTTAAAGATGTGAATGGATAACTCTTATGTCCACAGAAATTGAGACGCTTTTCCAGATGGGTTATTTACATTTATGAAACAAGTAGCCCTTTTGCAAAATTAGATGTGCTTTTTTTTTTTTTTTCTTGCTGGTATATTATTTTGCAATAAAAGTGAATTTTTAAACTGGGAAAGTCATTTGGGACCTGGTGTGTTTTGATTCTGGAAATGTAAAAACTTATATAATGGTAGAGGGAAAAATATAAATAAAAAATAAAAACAAGTAAATAAATAACACTAAATAAGGTACATGTTTGGTTTGCAATTTAAGATTTTACACATAATATTTTTGGATAAAATTATATAATAACCTGGCCAATTGCCTAAGTAGCTAATAAATAGCTTCACCTCCAACCAGTTACAAAATGACGATGCTGTGAAAGATGCATTGTGCTGAATGACCAGTGGTGGAGGAGATCTCCAGTTTATTTAAGTGAGTTTATTTACTTAAAGTATGAATGTTTACTATAAAATGCTGAAAAGTCTCCCATGACTGTTTTGCCACCGTGTATTTGATTATTGTACTATGATTATTGATGCATTGACCCACATATCTTGAGCGTTTACTCATATACTTGCACCATTTTCAAGTTATAAGTACGTTGGGTGTGACTCTGTCCTCTAATAAAACTATTATCTTATTTCTATGCTTAGTCCATGTTCCACATTAATATTACAGTGATTGCTGGCCAAACGATCTTCCTTGAAGTTAATCTTATTTATGATGATTTATAGAGCAGTAACACACATATATGTGTGTGCATGTCTCGTGGCGACAATGTTCGGGAACCACAAAGTTGCCAGTTTTTCTCGACCAGCTGAAGTGTGACAGGTTTCTTTCACAGGTTTAAAATGCTCGTGTCAATTTTCATTGATTATTTAATCTTATTTTGAATAGCCAACCATTTAAACAGTCCAGGAGGAGTGATGTTGGCGTTGGTGAAGAGAAAAAATTTACCCTTAAAGTCCCACAGCACAAAATCCCAAATACAGAACAAATCTGCTAACTAGACATTTGTGCAACTTCTGTGCTGTGAATGACTAAGATCTGACTGTCGTCTAAGGCAAAGAAAAGACATAAAACAAACAAACAAAAACATTATTTAGATGCAAGGCTATCTCTTAAGTATTCACATCATAGCTTTATTTGTATTTATATATCAGAGGGTAGTATTAAGAAAAACATTTTTGTACTGTTTTTGAAATCGCTGCAATTTCTGTGCTGTGCAGTTATGAGAATCGACTGTTGTCTAAGGTAAGACAAACAAAACATTATTTAGATCCAGCACTATCCGATTATTATTTATGTATTATACTGATGTTTTGCATTTTTGTGGCTATTCATAAAACATTCAGGGCTACAGGACAAGTATTTTATTTTTTTCAATCATGGCTTTTATTTGTGTTTATGTGTGGTATCATAAAAACATTTGTCTACTGCCTTCATGATTTTTCTAATTTCTATATCGTGCAGGTATGAGATTTAAAAAAAAAAAAACTATTTAGAACCAGGGTTATTAAATTATTATTATTATATTATTATGTTTTTTGCCCTTATGAGGATTTAGAGGCTAGTACTATAAAAAAAAAATAAATCTGGAATGCGTTTAAAATGCAATTTCTCTCTTATGGCATTCTGACAATAAATAAATAAATGAAATAAAAAAAGGAAGCAAAAATAAACAACAACAATATGTAATGATTGGTTTAAATGAAATTGGTCATTTGCACTATTTCACGACATGGGTGTATGCCTATATTTGCATTTGCACTATTTATTATTAATATTTTTATTATTATTATTATTATTATTATTATTGTGAATTTCTCCACTTTGAGATAAACAAATGCATATTATATCGTATCTTATCTCATCTTAATACTTTTACTGTTAAAAAAAAAAAGTCTGCTTCGGAATGAAAGTACTTGAATAAATGTACTCTTAATCAGTACTTTTACTTTTCAATCAGTATCCAGGTAACGTTGATTACATTTACTACTCAGTGTGGGAGTCTTTAAAAGTGTGGTGGTACTTTAATTTGGCAGAGTGGCTATTATATAACGATTTCTTGCTATTTTGAACATCCAGGGGCAGACGGAGCTCCGGCAGCAGCCTCCCAGCCACTGCGCATATCTGTGCCCCACATCAGCTCCTCCGGTTCGGGCACCGTCGTCATCCGGCGGCGGAGCGCAGCGCAGCGCACATCCTGGTTACTGTGAGCGGCGACACAGGTTCTGTTTAAAAAAATAAATAAATAAGAAAAAAAAAAATCTGCACCGTCATGATTGGGAAGGCCCCGGAGCCAGATGCTGGAATGGATGAAGCAGCTGAGTGTGCAGTTGGACGCCGGGGTTAAAATCACTTCCTGATTAACCCTCTGCCGACCAGCAGGAGGAACTACTGCGCGGCGGGCTGGAGGAGGACGAGGAGGAGGAGGAGGCTGGGGAGAAAAACTGACACGTGGATTACTCCTCCTCGGGCATCAGGACAAACAGACTCCCTCCTCTGAGCTCAGTTCCGTACACGGTGACCATCGCCTCCTGTCAGTCCAGATTTACAGGTTATGGGATTGAACCGTCGAAAAACCTACGATGTGATTGCGCGAATACTTTACGAGAAGATTTGTGGGTTTTTTTTTTTTTCTTCTTTTCTCTCTCTCTCTGGCTGTCTTCCTGTAAAACGTTCACTTCTGATCGGCCGTTAAAGAAAGTAAGTGAGCGGTTTGAAGAGAGGCTGCCGTCCGTCACCTCGCGTTGAATGGCAGTTATTCAAAAATATGGCAAGAACTATAGTCCAGATTTGGTCTGTCACAAGGAAAACCATCCGTCGGACAAGATCGGAGTCCCTGGATGTCACAAGAAGTGGCCTGAACACAACACCAACTGGCCGAGGTAACGTTTCCACGTCAGATATTCAACAGTGCTTTCCTTGTTTACCTCACAGGCTCACAAACTCACCCAACACAGGAAGTGTTTTTTTGAAATTTTCTAACCTAGATCAATAGAGTTGTTAGCAACTCTGGGTCCTCCTACACTTCATCAGAGCCATCTTTGCTGTTGCCTCTGTCTCTGTGAAATGACACGTATCATCTGTGGCCTCTCCTCCTGCTTCACTACTTTGGAGATGCAGTGTCACAAAGGCCACATGGTTTCAAGAAGGGGGAAGTCATTCATACTGCCCTGATGAAGATATGTTGCACACTCATTTCCTTTAGGTTTAACTGTCACTTGTGTGAACGTATAAGTCAGTTTTAACCCCTTGTTGATGCACCACAGGGGGTTGCCACTACGTCCCAAAGTTTGCTTCCTGTGTCACTTTAATCCACTCTGTTCTGTTGCAGGCCAGTGGCGAGGGTATGGACGGTGGTGCTGCTGCTCGGGACGTGCCTCCTCTACTGTGCCCGGGTGGCGATGCCCATCTGCGCCGTCAGCATGGCCGAGCAGTTCAGCTGGAGCAAGAGGGAGTCCGGCATGGTGCTGGGCAGCTTCTTCTGGGGCTACTGCTTCACCCAAGTGTTCGGTGGCTACGTCAGCGACCGGTGAGAAGAGGCAGGCCTGAAGAGACAGAATTATCTCATGCAAGATAACTGCTTTGATATGAGGCATGACAGGGGTTGAAACCTGTTTCAGCTTCCTGTCCGTCGTTCATATCGAGTGTCATTTGCATGGCGGCGTTCCGGGCACTGACGCAAACAGCACTGTTGTGTTTGCTCAGGCCGGAGAGATAATGTTGTGGATGAAGTTTGATGTTTCCTCTGTGTTATTATGTTAACTGTAGGCTCACAGTTTCATCAGTAGGTTGCTGTGTTTGAAGAGCTGTATATACGAAAGTTAATAGGCTAAAGTTCACATCCACTGTGCCTAATTTAACTGTGTAACACATATTGATAAGATTATATGTTTTTTTTACTGGTGTTACAAGTTGAGCCACCTTTCACTCCCCGCGCAGTTAAAGCTAATCCCAACGGACTTGTGTGTCCACAGGGTGGGAGGTGAGAAGGTCCTCCTGCTGTCGGCTGCAGCCTGGGGGTCAATGACGGCCTTCACCCCTGTCCTGGCCCACTTCTGCTCCCAGCCCATCCTCTCCATGACCCTCGCCCGCTTCCTCATGGGCCTGTTGCAAGGTGAGACGGGTGCTGGTGTGTCCATACCAAGAAAAGCCTTGTCTCCATTTTTCATCCTGAAGGAGATAATTATTAGACTTGTTCAAAACTCATTGCTTTAGTAACCCCATGGGTCTTTGTCTCTGGTTAGCAGTATCTGCCAGATTTAATTTGCAAAAATAATACCTGTCAGTAAATGATACCTTAACATATCTCAGATGAGCTAGCTCCTTTTCAACACTCCTGAGCCCTACACTTACAAGACACAGATAACAGATCATTTGGAATCAGCTCTGTATCCTGTGCATCAGCTGACAGTCTCCAATCTTCTTATGTCTCAGTTTGCACGTCCTTAGTTCCTTCCCTCGCCTCCTCTCCTTGCATCTTAGTCCCTCCCGTCTGACGCGCCAAGAAGAAGAGAAAAGCCGAGGCAACAGGCATTTACCAAAATGGCACTTTCTTGGCAACGCCACTTAAATATGAAGTATGACAGAGTTGCATCATCTGTGGTTTTGTTACAGCCTCGCTCTGTGTTTTATGATCTCTGTCAGACGAGCACAACAGTGTTCGTGGCAGCGTACAGTATACATTCATATTTAATTTGCTTCGTAATGTGTCGTAATGTGGCAAGAATGTACAAATGCAATACAGTTTTATTTTTTGTGCAATGAAGCTTATAAGAGGTGTGACACACAAAGAATCCTACAAATACAGACGGAGCCACATGATGATTTGTAAATCTGGCTCCTGCCCTGGTTTACACATTGCGGTAGAGTGTCACGCCCCTTTTTATGTGTCACAGTTGCCCAAAAGTCTACAGCAAGCCTCATCTTGCCTCTCTCCTCAAGATGCATTTTAGGATTTGAAAAGTCCTTCAAGATGGCAAACAGAGATCAATTTCTAGGTCACAGGTCCCAGGAGGATGGAGGAGAGGCGAGACGAGGAGGCTCATAGGTTGAGAAATAGTGTATCAGGGGACAGACCTTTCTAACAGCAGACTTGACGCAGTAACAAAAGCACAGGTGGATCTAATGATGGTACAGTTCCATTAAGTGTCCCGATAAGCTGCAGCAGTCAGCCAGAGCAGGAACTCCCTTAAGTGAAATGCAGCCACCACAAACAAACCTGTTGTTCTCCTACAGTGACTTTAAAAAGGGTCTGCCGCCAAAAGCACACAAAGTCACACCGACACATTTTAAAGCCCTCGACGGTTACTGTTGTGCATCGGTATTATTTTCCTGAGTAATTAAATGTGTATTGTTTGTCACTTTGACCTGGCAGCTCTTACAAAACCAGTTTTAGGCCTTTAAAGACGACATGTGATCAACATGTAGAGAACAAAGTAAAACAGAAAACTTATCAACTAAAGTTTGATCACAGCTGGAAATTGCACATCTTTGTAACTTTAAACTTTTGCTTACAGTTTTGTCTGTTGTGGTAAAAGTGAAGTTTTAGTTTAGGGCAATTGACTGATGACAGTTACACTTAGTGAATCATCGCATGACATTTGTGCGTCATGCTTATGTTGGGGCACCGCCACACCCACATATTTATTTATTTATCTTGAGTACAAGACTGGATTTGCTTCATGGGTTGGATGTTTGAGGAATGTCTTTCAATTCATTTGGCAGCCAGCTCTTGTTATAAAAGAGAAGTGGCACCATTGTGGAACTTCAAACAATTCAACACCTGCCATAACAATGGATGTGTTACTTAGATTACTTTGAGAGGAGAAAAGAAAAAAGGCTGTCATTTCCTCACAGATTATATGATTGTTTTGTGTGACGATGTGAAAATCTGCTTTTATTTGCTTCTTGAATTCTTCTTGGAATGTCATTGGAAAAAACAAAAAAAAACAAGGCTCTGTGTTTAATGTCTCGATTTTTAGGAGTTCATTACCCTTCTCTGGCGAGTCTGTGCTCTCAGAAGGTGGTGGAAAGCGAAAGAGGCTTCCTCATGAGCACTGTGGGTAGTGGCTCCTACCTGGGGTGAGTCAAGTGTTACGCAATAAACGGGGAATGGTGAGAAAAGGATTCTTGCTTCGACAATTACTGTGCAAAGAGGAGGCCTTTATGAGAGAGCTCTCTATTGTGATCCCGTAATTACTTGTAAAGCTCACTGGTGTTTAAAAATAGTGATTTTACTGTCTGCATCCAGATGTATGGGCAAGTTTTATGGTAACATCCTGACATGTGTTTTCAAAGTTTGACTCAGGTTAATCAATCTTCACTTTGTTGAACCACTAGGGTGTGTTTGTGTGATTTGTGTCCTGTCGCAATCTATTTTTTTCTTCAGCACTCTGGTGATTGGAGGAGCCGGCTCCCTCATGTTGGACCTGTACGGCTGGGAGAGTGTTTTCTACATTTCTGGTCTCCTCTCAGTCCTGTGGGCTTACTGCATGTGGAAATATCTACTCAAAGGAGAAGGCAAGGGCCACTTTAGCTGTGTCAACAGCATCTGTGTTATTTCGTGCTCGTATCTTGTACCTGCTTATTTGTACACTTGGAGTCAGTGCCCTCTTGTGTGCCAGTGAGTCCGTGTTGATCTGTGTGTGCAGGGCCTATAATCACCCTGGAGTCACTGGGCAGCGGTGGGGCCCCGTCCAAACTGTCCAAGAGACATTGGTTACGTCTCTTCAAACAACCTGCAGTCTGGTGAGATAACAATAATGCAAGTGTGTGTGTGTGTGTCTGTGTGGTTGTGAGCAAATGTGCAACCCTCTGGATATGTCTGCACTTTGTGCTCTGTGTACGTATGCATAGCAGATGAATGAGCAGTTTTGAGTGTCTTGCAAAACCTGCATCAGGGAAGTTCGACCATAATTTCTTATTTACAGCCTCCAAATTCTGAAATTCTAATTGCACATGTTTTGCAACCATGAAAAACTGAGTTATAGAAAAATAAGAAGAATGATTTAGAAGGAGAAATGTATCTCAGTATTGGATTTTTGAACATGAGATCTCTGGCTGCCCCAACTGTCTGCCTAATGTCGCTGATACTAAAGTCTCCCACGTTCTTCCAGTTTCTCCCGACTGCCTGGATATTTATACACAATACTGTAATGCAACTGATACGCTCCATGTTCAGTGACAGGGAGAGCATCTGAGGTCTTATTGGATGTGTGTGCTCTGCCTTGAGAGTCACAGATTCAATGATAGTTTGCTGGATGATTTCTACCTGAACTTACCTGTCTTCATAGTGATAGGATTTATGAGGGAGGAAAACAATGGATGTCGAAGCAGCACAAGCTTTTGTCCAATCAGTGTCCAGAAAAATGGGCCATTCTTTTTGTGAACAAAACTGAGCAGTCTTCAGTTTGTGTAACTGAAGTTGCGGTGCACTCATTGTTTCTCTTTGTTCCCTGACCAGTGCTGTGATAGTGACGCACCTTTGCACAGCAAGCACCTTCTTCACTCTTTTGTCGTGGCTGCCAACATTCTTTAAAGACACCTTCCCCGATGCTAAGGTAACCACAATGCCTTCCCGTCCTCCTTTTTGATCTCGCATTTGACGTCACACGTGTAGGAAAATCAGTTGAGCGAAACTAGCACGCTGTCTGAAATCAAGAAGAACATGACCTTTATTTGAAGGCCCCCTCCTGTGAAAATCAAGTTGTCTACCTTGCTAACATGCAATGGTGTATGCTGGAATGAGCAAAATTAGCAGCAAATGCCATGGCTGAGCATCTTCACCTTTCAAACTACAGCAAGAGCAGGATCAGATCAGATATTTACATGTTGCAGTAGGCAGATACAGATAAGACAAAAATAGAATAAGGCTAAAAATAGAGACAGGGACGTCATATATTCACACATGCTGAACAAATCAATGGCGTAGAGCTCAATCAAAGCCATTTTAAAGCATGAAGGGATCATTTTATGTGAAATTAACGTCAAAATATATAACTTTAACACACAGAGATGAGTTAGGGCTTAAAACCACAGCTGAAGAAGAACTTGTGAACATGTGACGTTGTACTTACACACACCTGAAGCAGATAGTATTTTGTTCACCATGTCTGCAGTCATACCTTAGGATGTTGGCACTAAACATAGTGTATAGCTGAATGGTATTCATTTTGCAGGAATGTCATCATAAATTAATGTCTTCAACAAATTAACATTTTGACCCAAATGATAGAACTAGAGCTGCAAGGTGGCTTGGTGGTTAGCACCATTGCCTCACAGCAACAAGGTCGCCGGTTTGTGTCCCAGTGAGGACACCCGGGATCTTTCTGGAGTTTGCATGTTCTCCCCGTGCAGCGTGGGTTCTCTCCGGGTTCTCCAGCTTCCTCCCACACAGTCCAAAAACATGTTGAGGTTAATTGGTGATTCTAAATTGTCCTTAGGTGGGAATGTGAGTGTGCTTGGTTGTCTGTCTCTAAGTGTAGCCCTGTGATAGACTGGTGACCTGTCCAGGGTGTCCCCTGCCGTCGCCCTAAGTCAGCTGGGATAGACTCCAGCCCCCCCACCACCCTAGTGAGGATTAAGCAGAGTATAGATAATGGATGGATGGATGAATGATAAAACTAGAGGAAAAGTCAACATCATTTGGAAACCATTAATGTCAGTCAGCAAACTCTGTGCCAACCCACACATTAGATGTTTTTTTCGCTGGATTAATCCAAACTTCGACCTTCTGGTGGCACTAGATTTGTTCTTTGGTGACCATGAATATCACCGTTCATACAACCACACTCTGAAAGACCATTATAAAGCAACTGCACAAGTGCCTAACAGTAAAAAAAAACTAACACTTAACATTCTCTCCTGTTGCTAGTCAAGTTCATTCACGCTCAGAAGTTGTGTTGTTCCTCCAGGGCTGGGTGTTCAACGTCATTCCTTGGTTGGTGGCCATACCCTCGTCCCTGTTCAGCGGCTGCCTATCTGACCACCTCATTAGCCAAGGTAGGGGACCTGAAGGAAACTGGTCAGAATTAGTTTTAAATGTATAATAATATTGATAAAGATGGCTGCATAAATCCTAATTTCTCCTCTTGATCCCCTCAGGTTTCGATACAGCCTCAGTGAGGAAGTTGATGCAGGTACACTAATTATCATTTTGCCATAATATTCTGCGTGTATGTTACATGTTTAGTCTCATTGTGATTTTTTTTTCTCCTCCCAGCCCAAACAATACGAATGTCCTCTTTACACTAATGAGCTACATAAATTTTTACTTTCTGTTTTTGTGTGCATTCATCCCCCTGTTAGTTTTTCTCCATGGGTGTGTCCAGTGTGTTTACCCTTCTTCTGTGTGGCAACACCACCTTCCCCTGGGCTGTAGCATTTGTGTCTGCCACCATGGGTCTCACCACCTTCAGTCACAGGTACTGACACCCACTATTTCTTCACGTTGTATTTCTGACCCTCAGAGGTTAAATGTGGTGTTTTGGTTTGTCAGTTTTGTCTTTTGTATGCTCCATCTTAGTGATGCCATCTAAAATTATAACCTCCATTTCCATTATTGTGAGTCCAGCTCCACGTTGCAGCTTCTTAGACGTTAAAGTGCTAAATATCTCACCACTTCTTCCAGTGAACAAATCAGTTTTGTTTTTACAAAAACTTCCAAGATATACTACTGGGCCTCAGCTTAATCAGTGAAAACATGCAGTTTGTTTCGTTGCTTGTGAGTCATTGCGTTTTTGTGTTTTAACCACTTAGGGATAATTGCCTAAAGTAGGACGTTATTAGGCTTTGTTTGTCACTGTTATTCCAGTAAGCCGAAATAATTTCGAGGGTAGTTTTTTTTTTTAGCAAATATTGCCCAATTTGTTGTGCAATATTTTCAAGTGCTGATTAATACACCTTTTGGCTTTGTTAATACTACGTACCCAGTGTTCGTCGTAATTAAGGAACATGCCAACCGGTGCAACAGTGTGGATTAATTTGAAGTGTAGGAGCAAAAGAATAAACGATTAAAAAATAATTTTAAAAAGCAGGGGATCAGTTTAATGCCGATGTCGGGCTTTTCATGAGATTTGTTGATAATAAGAATATATAATATCACTGGATATCCCTTCAACTATGAGGGTATGTCATTCAGTTCATGCCAAAATAAATGCACAATTGCAGAGAATAAAGGGCAGGTGAGCACTTGTCGGTGGGTGAGACGCTACAAAGGCAGAACCAGACAACAAAGAAACATGAGCACAAGTATCAGGAAGCATCGTCTGTGAGGTGTGAGCAGGCCTAATGATACTGAACTGCATGTATATTTGTTGTGTTTTCCTGGTTCGGTATTTCTGTGTTGTTGTTTTCTTGGAGTGTCACTGTGTCATTTTCAAATTTGCCAAAATTATTTTTAAAAATATATATCCGTTGTATTCTATTTTTGAATGTTGTTTTTTGGACACAAGTTTAACCTTCTTCAGTATTTTTTTTAATTACATATTAGGGCAGGTTTTATTTAACAATATTATGAATATTTAATGTTTGTAAAATAAATTGTGCACCTCCAGGTCAATGTCTTACAATTTTAAGTTATTTTTTTAATTGAATCTTTATTAGTCAAATACTACAAAATGTGTAAGTAACTTATTTACTGATGGTCTCTATGTTTTATACATATATATATAATGTCTCCAAGTGATAGTTGGGACAAGAAGGCGATTTTATTTCATGTATCTCCAGAACAACATTCATTCACATTCATCAGTCATTCATCATGTATTTTCATTTATATTCCAGGCTTGTTAAATGCAACAGATGCATGCAAGCAGCAAATAAAGACACAGTCAATGATTGTAGACTAGGCGGAGAATACAAGCCTGTTCACGACACAGACATGGATTTGTTTTTCTTCTCTCTTTTTCTCTCAGAGGTCGTCAGGCTGAGTATTGGGCAATTTGTGTTGCACAAAGAGTCATTATAGCACCTTATGAGATAAAATGACTAATAACATGTATTTCTTTTACAGCGGTGTCTCCGTAAATGTTCAAGATCTTGCCCCGTCCTGTGCCGGAGCTTTATTCGGTAAGCTTAAAAAAAATGTTGCACTGATGATTTTTGTTTATTTATTTTTTGAATGGCAACTGAAATTTTAATTCCCTGATGAATTTAACATCTTTTGCTTCCACTTCTTTCGCAGGCGTTATGAACACATGTGGCGCTTTCTCAGGTGAGTTTCTGTTAATTAAGAAATATCTGCGCTGAATCTTTCATCGGCGGTTTGTAACGCTATTAAATGAAATAATTGATTCACTTGTCTGAAAACAAACTTTGAGCCGACGCGTCAGTCACGCTGGCTCTTCCGCATGCATATTTCATCAAAGGACCATAATGAAGTTTGTGTCAGATGAATAATACAGGGAACAGAGGATGACAGTCGGTGGTCCTGTGAGGGACGCAGAGAGAACTGTGACACTTTTTTTCCTGCAGTTTTCATCTGGAAAAAAAGCTGAACTGTACCAACACATAAAAGTTACGTCATGTGTTTTGTATCTTTGTGATATTTTGCTATTAACGATTACTGTGTGTTTCTGTGCAGGGGTCCTAATGGTGTATTTCTCGGGGTATCTCATCGAGGCTACAGGCTCGTGGGCGTCTGTCTTTGCCCTCATCACCACAGTCAACCTGCTGGGCCTCTGCACCTTCCTGGCCTTTGCTGAGGCCCGCCGGGTCGACATTGACTCCAGTCGAGTCCGCCACCACAACATCCACATCTAAATCATCAGTCCTCAGAGGGGACCAGAATGCTATTCCCAGGGGGACGTGTGACCTTGGGCAACCAGCAGCTAGGACACTATCCACAGTGGAGCACTATCCGATGCATAGCGAGCTGTACGAGGATAGAACCTGCAGACGACATCTGGCAAAAGCATGATCAGCTCTGTGTCTGACTGAGGAAGTACTGCAACAGCTATCGAAAAGCACACAGCAGAGCCTGCACAATGTTACCGAAAAGTCTCGTGGAGCTGCAGCCTTAAATCCTGGAAAAACACAGTTGTGTTAGAGAAGGCTCTGTTAGTTCAGGAAGAAGGTGGAAGAATATGGATTGGAAAAAAACAAAACATCCACACTACCTCCTGGTCCCAGCTGTGTGAAGCGTGTGATGTTTGAGCAAATTCTAGAAAAACTGTTTATACGTGTCATTTGTTACAGACTGTGTTACTTAGGTCTAGAAAAGTCACCGAGATTATTAGAAAGCCATAGCTCACTGTTTTAGTGCGTGTGTTGAAGGGGGCTGTGGGAGTGATGGATGTGTTAGTCTCAGGAGCTCTCTGACAGCTGTGACAGACCAAGGTGGTGTGTTCTTACCCTGCGGGGATGGGGGAGGCGGTGTGGGTGACGCAGTGAGAGTCCAGCCTCTCATACCTGAAGTCTTTTATTAGTACGCCCCACTCACCCATCACTGAGAGAACTGTCTGAGTGACACCTCATTACCCAGGCACTAATTACTTGGCAGGCACTCTAATGTCCTGTACAATTTACCTTCTGTGGTCCCTGTCTCCATGGTTACAAGCTCATCTTATGGTTTCGAAGGGGTGGGGGGGGGGTCGCAAAGCTTTATGGCAGCGAGGCTTCGACAAAGTACGCCGATTGTTGTCTCAGAGAGTATGTTTTTGAGTTGGAAGACCAAAGGTTATTAATAAATTAAATTAACTGTATTTTCTTTCAATGTGATTGCATGTCATAGAAATACCTCACTTAATTGTTTTCAATTGCCTTTATATTTATATGGCTTAATGAGTTTCAAAAGTTTTTTTTTTTAAAGAGAAAAGAAATATATTAGGATGACAGAAAATCAGATCAGTGTGATGCAGTATGGGAGACTCAAATGCACCTCGTTGTGCGTGTATTTTATCCTCACGTAAAGAAACTCGTCATCGTCTTGGGGAAAACTTCACATGCAAACAAGGCAACTTTTTGTGTTGAGTTGAGGAGGGACGCGCCCTTATTATCGCACCTTTGTAACCTCGGCACTTAAAAGAAACTGATGTCAGTATTTGGTATGGAGGTGGACATCGCTATCCACTTGTCATGGCGGTAACAGAGGTTGTGTCCTCTCGTTAAGGCTGCCTCCAGGTTACCATGCTGATATGATGAATGTTGCCGGACGGGCGAGATCATTACAAGTGATGTCTTGGGTTGAGTGCAGTTAAAGAATTAGAGACTACCTGGTGTAATGATGTTACAGTTGCCAGCTGCACGATTCTGACTGAATGTTGAAATGATTGTTTGTAGCATTTAGCTTTGATGTTCAGAGCACAGTTTCACAATTTCCGTTCGACATTTGGAAGATGTATTATTAAGTCTAGATGCTTACTTGACATGTGTACCTTTTTAAATCTATGCATTTATTATTTTGTGCCTGATTTGAGCAATGAAAGAGCTGCAAGATATGCTCGTTGTGGTAGCACGGTGTTGATTATCCATCATATTTGCCTTCTTTGTAAGATTTTCATTGCTTCTGTGTCACTTATTATTGTTCACATACAATGGCACATAGGCTTATGGTTTCTTGGAGGATTTTTTTTTAATAGAAATGTGGAAGTATACACTTGGGTCAAACATTTTGTGGGACAGATTTGATTTCTGAACTGCCTATTGCATCCCTGACATTGTCAGTTGTTACCAAAATGTCATAGTTTGAAAGTAATTAGATTTATTTAAGTGTTTGCTCTCTGTTTGTCAGAGTACGGATATAATTATTCTGTATAACATTATTAGATTATATTAGTGTGACACATAAACCTATTGACTGGCTAAATAGAATAGTTTATTTTGATAGCTGATCTGAAATCTGATATCACAAAGCATATTTATTTACATAAGACCACTGTAAAAAAAAAAACACAAAAGACCAGCCTTCAGTATTTTTCTCAGCCTTTTTTTTTTTTTTTTGTGACAAACCCAGTCCACACATTCCTGAGATGCTTGCCCTGCCTCTATTTACAACTGCTCTCATCTGTTGTCCCTCTTTTTTTCCCCCTTATTATGTTGACATCCTGCAAACATGTACATGATAAATAGATAGGAGTTGTGGTCACCAACATATTTTACTGTGGGTTCCTGAAAAGCCTTCTGAAAACTAGTTTTTTGATAACCTGTAAAGTATGTAAGATATAAAAAAAAAAAAAGAAATACACAAATGCAAGAAAATGCGGTATTCGAATGCATTTAAGATATGTTGTATTTAAAAGCTCTTCACTTTGAATAAAAATCTATTTTGTCAACACTGCTGGGTAGTTTCAGTACGCTGTCGTATCTGCGTGTATTTTCTCTGTAGATCCACAGAGAGGCAGCACAGTATCAGAAATGAGGAGAGCACATGGCTTCTGCTCCAGAGACTTCAACATTTTCTTGTCATGTGGATGGGAGGCCTTCTCTGTGGCGGCACAATGATCTCTTGAAGTTTTTATTAAGATGACTTTTAACTCAGATGCACAGCCATTACAGTTGAAAACCAGGCAGGATCTTTTTTTTTTTTTTACCCCCCTCCCAGTGAAACTGAGAACCATTTATCTGCACTGTTCTGTCTCTGGATCACAGGTTCTAGTCCAGGTCTGTCCTGTTCACACCACCGGCTCACTACAAGTCCAGATCCCGAGTCCGGGCCAGCAGGACGTATGTGGTGGCACCATATGGCAGGATGCTGTGTGCCATGTTGGCTAGCTGGCACTACCCACGTGTGAATGGCCAGACGCTAGTCAACCCAACCCACTCCTCCTCATGGGACCGAACGGCTCAGGTTGCCATGGTGACTGGTGGCTTGTGGCTGCCGCGTGGCAAATAAAAAAGAAAGAGAGGGGGGTCAGAAGTGAAGGAAAGTAACAAGTCAGATAGAAGTCAGTGGAGTCGGAGTGAGTTGGCCGGGAATTTGGCTTTGGATCTACAGTTCGTACAAAAAAAAAAAAAAAAAAACACATCCCCAGTGTTAAAGAGGTGGTCAGTCACTTATTGGAGTGCTCTCGCTGACAGAAAATGGTGTTGTAAAAGCAGACATAATCATGATGAGTGGCCCACTATTTAATTAGTGGAGATGAAAACTCTACAGAGAGAGTGGAGGAAAAGAGGAGATAAACCCTCCCCCAACTTGTTGGCTGGTAAGAGTAACCCAGTAAGTGCGGGACCCATCAGAGAGCCAGAGATACATGTAAATGAAATAGCCCCATTAATTAGTAATTAACATCAAGTTAATGACATTTCACTGTGTCGCCATCTCATCCTATGTCCTTCCTCCGTGGTGGAGGGGCTGTCTCTCGGGTCCCTGATCTGAATGCTAATTAGTGCAAGGCTAAACTGCCATATAGGGCTACCTAATAATATAGAGGCCCAGTTTAAGACTGGTCATTGTGTGGGGAGGATTAATCACTTTGTAGTAATAGATCAGGAGGCTTTATAAGTCTGCCACTCCTTAGAGGGTGGTGATATTGAAGGCCATTGACAGGTTTTATGTGCTAATTGCGTTGCGCCTGTTAGCCTAACGTCCTGTTATCCCTCATGACTAAAACTAGTTTTAACAATTCTCCCCTTTTTTATAAAACGTATCCAAGAAATATTCCTGCTAAGTGAGCATAAAATAGTTTCCTATGTCAGATCTTGTTATTTCAGTGTCTTGCATGGTTTGATTGAGTTTGAACTCAGCCGTGGATACACTCATTTGTTTCGGGTCCCCTCCTGAGCCTAAATCAGCTCTGTGACAGAGGTAATTTTACATGATTTGACTGCAGTCTGCCGCATTATCTCTGTGAAGCCAGATGAAACATGAAGTTAACACTCTGTACACAGCGGTGTTCCTGCAATGGACAAGAATGTCAGCTCCAAAATGAAGGAAATGTTACTGTGCATTGATGTTCGGGGTTATGTCCTGCAATGCTAAACTTGGCTTTGAGTCTGTGGTAGTTCTCTCTGTCTCTTTAATGCTTTGCTCTTATTTCCTACTGTAGCTATCAACATCTCTCTCTTCTTTGTTTCCCTCTTTCTTTTTTCTTTTCCTTTCTTTCCAAACTGTGTTCTGATGCATAATTGACCCTTTTAAAGCGATCCCCTGATGCCCAGGCACATTCACCATTAGCACACCATTACACACACACACACACACACACACACGTGCATGCACAGACAACCAAATATGTTGATTTCTGTCAATTAAACCCCATCAGCTGTTTGCCTCCTGCTAGACATATGGCCTGTGTTAAATCTAAAGAGCAAATGGAGCCACCATTGAGAGGGGCATCATTTTAATGGAACCCTGAGGGACAAGACCCACACCTGCGCAATAATAACATTAAACCATGCTCAACCCACTGGCCAGATGAGGACAGTGTTGGTTTGTGTGTGCTGTGTGTGTGGGTACATGCATATCGCATTTCTTCTATCTTAACACAGCCTCACCTTCAATAGAAAAATTAGTCTTTGGAGAACGTAGTAATATCTGACTCCTGCTCCTCTCACGGACTCCACAGGTACATTTGGTTTGAATTCTTGCGTGAAAATGTTTTGTTTTCAGCGCCACACCAGGAGAAGGGGGCAGCTCAGGCCTATTATATAAGCCAGAAAAGCAAAGACACAAATGCACTCCATCATTGCAAACTCTCCCCTGCAGTCAGAGTGAGAGTACAGATATTTTTTTTTCTTCTTTTGCCAAATGAATGGTTATGGAGTTCACAGGTCCTTAGACAGAAACAGAGACAAATAAGTGAACAAATGTTCAGAAATATAATTTTAGAAAACAATATGGTGCTGTGCTTTTGGCAGGGACTGTCAGATGCTTAGTCTTAAGACAAAAGGAGAACAAAATGAAATCCTCTGTTGGGGTAAGTATAGTAAATGTTTTTAGTTCACCCATCACAGTTAAAGTATTTTTGCTAAACATGCTTGCCTCTATATACACATACATCAACAAAAACTATTATTTTCCTTTTTTTTATTTTTATCTCCTTATCTCTCAGTTTGTTTTTTTTCCTCAACAGTGCAAAACCTGAAGATTTTCTATTTACTAACATAATAGAAAGAATTGTTTAGCATTTCTGCTCAGAAAATGATGAACTGATTATGAAATAGTTGCAGAATAATTCTCTGTCTATTGATTAACTGATTCATTGACAGGTCAGATTTTTAGTAGATAGTGTAAATTGCAGATATCAGCAAAATTGAATTAAACACACACACAGTGCACTCCATGTGATGTATTGAATCCATTAGAACTGATTGTGAAAATAAATAATTAATGCAATGAGGGAAATAAATGAGTTGTACAACAAAAAAAAGCTAATTGGGTATATGTGGCAGGTCTGTAGATGTTTGTTATGATTGTTATTTAATTTGTAAATTCCACAAAATCATAAAAAGTGTCAATCAAAGGTTTCCTGAGTTCAAGATGACGTCTTCACATGTCTTGCTTTGTCTGAACAGTAGATCAAAACATAAAGACATTCAGCTCACAGTGATTATGAAACAGAGAACAGAAGCAAATCCTCAGACTGGAGAAGCTGATTCAAGAATTATTCAAGGAATACTTCATCAGTTTTTGCTTAAAATTGACTAAAGCTGTTCATAATTTTTTTTTTTTTTTAAATGTAGCAGATGAATTTTCTGTTACCAGACTAATTGGTTATTCGGCTAATCATTGCAGCTCTTTGCAGATCATTCCTCATTGTTGCAAACAAAACAATCCAAATGGTCCTCCTTTGGAAACAAACTAGTAACAACAAGGTTAAGAGACACATAATACCTGAGGATGAAATGATGTCTAATAGTTCTGTTTTGTCTATTATGTTCCCTGTTAGTTCCTGATACCATGCAGCATTCTGTTTGTGCATGCACATGAGGAGGTTAAATACCCCACCCCCGTCGCCCTCTCAGCCACCCACCCCCCCACCCACCCCTCAGTACCCCTCCACTCATCTGTTCCAGCTCTCCCCAGCTTCACACCGCTCACATCTCCAACACCACCAGATCTCCCCTTTTTTCCTGCTTGCTCTTTACTAAAGTTTGGCTGTCAATCAGCAGTGGCCTCAGGCAACAGGCACTGATGAAAAGACCCCTGAGACAAGGAGACCCAAATTAGATTTCAATAAGGATGTTGAATATTCATATCAGGGAAACATCTAAAGGTAAACGTTTTTTGATCTCCTCGCACAAATATCACTTGTGTGCATTCCCAGGTCCTGGTGCTCTGGTTCTACAGTGTTTTCTCCCCCAGCCTGGTCCGGCCCCGGCCCCGGCCTCGGCTCTGTCTCGCTCCTCGGGGGATGCGGTGGAATAATGATGATGGAGCTACAAAGGAGAAAAAAAGCCATAATGAATGTTTATACTAAAGGGACCCAATAGAAAGGGCATCCGTACTAAGTATTCAGTAATTAGTATTTAGCAGAAGTTGATCGCTGAGTGCACACATTCAAACACAGAGTGACACACACTCACTTAACACACACATATCCAGGGCAGAATCACTGAGGCATAATCGTTTACTGTGTAAACTTTAGACAGGGGAACCTCCCATGACAGCGGCAGTCAAAACACAGTTTCATTTCTCCTGTCAACATGTTTACTTTATTTTTATAATTGAATCACTTTGGGTCTTCCTCCCCAAAATGTCAACAGAATTCACAATGCGGCTGTTTATTTTTCCTGAACGTACCTGTGCTCTGCTGCTCATCTGCTCTGTACAGAATGGTAATTATCACTTTAACACATTGTAGACGAATGTGTCTCCTAACCTCAGTGCTAAAAATGTCTTTTTATCTTGCCGTGTGATGTGTTTCTTTTTTTTCTTCTTGTAAACTGTACTTGTTATGAGAACTAAAAAAGGGCCAACATACTCCTAATGCCCCGAAGAAATTGCCATCACTTCCATCTTACTGGAGATGGAAATGTGTTATAGTGGAGGATGTGGGGAGGATAAGGGGTAGGAAGGAGGGGAGGGGGGGGGGGACCGCCTTAGGCTCTTTTCCCCAGTCCACTCCGCTCGGGAACACACTATGAAACGAGTCCTGAAATGAGACCAAAGGATGAAAACACCATCTCTTCTTGACGCAGGAAGGGACCATCCAGCTAATAGTCCGTGTCAACTTCTATCATCAATAATGCGTCAAGAGCGACCATGATAGTTGCAAACGAGCAAGCCGCGGCTCATGATGCGGGAGGACAGGCCAGCTCGTAACTCCGTCGCTCGGCAAGGCGAGTAAAAAGACATCCATTCTCGTCTTACGTTATACTTTTTCTCTTGTTATTTCT